TTGGAGTATCAAAAAGCATAGCTGGCGATAAAGCATGATAGATTCAAGTTTGACCCTAGTCCCTCGAGAGAATTCACAATACCCATAAGCTTTTTAATACATCACCTTCGATCTTCAGACACAAGAAACCCTTGAAACCGTTTTCATTTTGTAGTAGTGAGGCAGATATTGATTACATGTGTTCAGCCTCGTGAAAAGTGCTCTTATCCGCGCGCAGCCTTGCATACTTACTACACTCCAAACGCTCTAGCGTCACAAGGCCTTGTCGAAAAAAAGTTCGAGATAAGTGCAATCGCCAAAAAAAGTTCCCGGCGCATCAATACCTCAATTTGTTGGTGTTTATATCGCCATTGAATAGGTTTTTGATCTCTCAGACAATTGTAAATTATGGTCGGCCAACGTAAAGCAGTGTAAGCTTTTAATCGATACTCCGAATTGTATTTATCTTAACAACTAACCTTAACATCAATAGGGATCAGCGCATCCCCGCGCTCATTCGCAATGGCATCCAAGAGAAGAAACGAAGCTTCATTGTCGTTGTTGGAGATAGAACGAAGGATGTCATTGTACATCTACACTATATTATGTCCAGTATGGACATGAAACAGAACAAATCAGTCATGTGGGCATATAAGAACAAGCTTCTAGGATTCACGAGGTCAGTAGCGAAGATGGTCACCTTCTTTTGAAGCTGCATACTGATCGATTTGCTACTTACAGTCATCGAAAGAAGAGAGAAACTAAAATTAAGAAGGAAATCAAACGTGGAATTAGAGAAGCAAATACTGAGGATCCTTTCGAACTTTTCGTGTCGCTGCACAACATTCGATATGTTTACTACAAGGAAACCGAGAAAATCTTGGGAAACACTTTCGGAATGTGTATTTTGCAGGATTTTGAAGCCATCACACCGAACCTTTTAGCCAGAACTATTGAAACAGTTGAGGGTGGAGGGCTTGTGGTTCTATTACTGAAAGGCATGAACAGTTTGAAGCAATTATACACATTGTCTATGGATATTCATTCTCGATATCGAACCGAAGCGCACGACGATGTTACTGCTAGATTCAACGAGCGATTCATTTTGTCCCTTGGAAAATGCGAGTCCTGTTTAGTGATCGACGACGAGCTGAATGTTCTTCCTATATCCGGCGGAAAGAACGTGAAGGCTTTACCTCCGCCGGATTTGGACGAGCCAAAAAGCGAATCACAGATAGAATTGGATAGCATGAAAGAAGCCCTACAAGACACACAACCAGTTGGATCTCTCGTCACTTTGGCAAAGACCGTGGACCAAGCCAAAGCTCTTCTCACTTTCGTAGACGCCATCGCCGAAAAAACTTTGAGGAACACTGTCACATTGACTGCTGGAAGAGGACGTGGAAAGTCTGCAGCGCTTGGTGTGGCTGTGGCAGCAGCCGTCGCTCATGGATATAGTAACATTTTTATCACATCCCCAAGTCCAGAGAATTTGAAAACCCTGTTCGAATTTATCTTTAAGGGTTTCGATGCTCTTAACTACATGGATCACGTCGACTACTCAATTATACAGTCTACAAACCCGGATTTTAACAAAGCAATTGTTCGAGTAAACATTCATCGTCAACATCGCCAAACCATCCAATACATCAGACCACAGGATGCGCATGTTCTTGGTCAAGCCGAATTATTGGTTATCGATGAAGCCGCTGCAATACCGCTGCCACTCGTAAAGAAGCTTATGGGTCCTTACTTAGTATTCATGGCATCCACCATTAATGGATACGAAGGTACTGGAAGATCTCTATCTTTGAAATTGATCAAACAACTTCGAGAACAATCTAGAGGAACAACCAATGGAACAGAAGATGTTGAGGTAGCTGATCGATCAAGTGGCAAGGCTGCTGCTAAAGGTGCCGATAATAGCTTCTCAGGAGGTCGCTCGCTAAGAGAGATTACCTTGTCTGAACCTATTCGTTATGCACAAGGTGACGCTGTTGAGAAATGGCTCAATCAATTGCTCTGCCTTGACGCCACCTTACCTCGCTCGAGATTAAACACTCTTCAAGGATGCCCAGATCCTTCACAATGTCAACTGCTCAACGTCAATCGTGATACCCTCTTTTCTTTCCATGATGTTTCCGAAAAGTTTTTGCAGCAAATGATTGCTCTTTATGTCGCGAGTCATTACAAAAATACCCCAGATGACCTTCAATTGATGAGTGATGCTCCAGCTCATCAATTGTTTGTCCTTGTTCCACCTATTGAAGAGAACAGTAAACACTTACCAGAACCTCTCTGCGTAATTCAAGTGGCTCTCGAAGGGAAAATTAGCAAACAAAGTGTCATGAACAGCCTGAGTAGAGGTCAGCGAGCAGCTGGTGATCTCATTCCTTGGTTGGTCAGTCAACAATTTCAAGACGATGACTTCGCTGGTCTCTCTGGAGCACGAGTAGTCAGAATAGCAACAAATCCTGATTACATCAAGATGGGCTATGGAAGCAAAGCGCTCGAGCTCCTTACTGCTTTCTACGAAGGGAAGTTTACCAACCTCTCGGAAGATACGAATGACTACGTAGAAGAGACAATCACTCGTGTCACAGACGAGGAGTTGACAAGTTCATCTCTTCTTGAGGATAACATCAAGGTTAGAGACATCAGAAAGATGCCACCCCTTTTCTCAAAATTATCCGAAAAGCGACCCGACAACCTAGATTATATTGGTGTGAGTTACGGCCTTACTCAACCTCTACACAGATTCTGGAAAAGGGCTTCGTTTGTACCTCTCTATCTTCGTCAAACACCAAACGAATTGACAGGAGAGCACACTTGTGTTATGGTTCGCACCTTGGAGAATAGTGAAGATAGAGAATGGGAGTCTGCGTTCTCTAGAGATTTCCATCGCAGATTCTTATCCCTTCTTTCATACCAATTCCGCGAATTCCCTTCAGTTCTGGCCTTGAGCATTGACGAATCAGCAAACGCTGGTTCAAAATCCGACCCAGAAGCCGCCCCCAAGCCACTTTCAAAAGAAGAATTAGACAAACTTATGTCACCTTTCGATCTTAAACGCTTGGAATCATATGCAAATAACATGCTTGATTATCACGTCATTTTGGATCTCATTCCAACACTTGCAAATTTGTATTTCACTGGTCGCTTGAAGTCCAACATTAAACTTACTGGTATTCAATCATCGATACTACTTGCCGTTGGCTTGCAGAGAAAGGATCTGACCGCCATTGAGTCCGAATTGTCTCTTCCATCATCTCAACTCTTGGCCATGTTCATCAAAATCATGCGTAAGATGAGCTCACATTTTGGTGACTTGGTCTCTGGTGCTATCGAGGCTGAGATGCCAGGACGGGAAAATATCGGTGTCAGTAGAGAAGATGCAAATGAAGCTTTGGACGACGAGGTTGTAGATGATAGATTCGTACCTCTAGAACAGGGACTCGAAGAAGAATTGGAGGAAGGTGGAGATGAAGCTTTGAAGGCTTTGAAGGAGAAGCAAAGGGAGCTTATTGATGCTCTCCCTTTAGATCAGTAAGTTCTTGATCTAGCCATCTCAGATACTACAATACTAATTCGTTGACCAGATATGAAATCGAAGCAGGAGCACCAGGGTGGGCAGAAGCCGAGAAGCAAGTCAAAAATGCTGCTAAATCCGGAAAGAAGGATATAGTGGTTGGTGTAAAGAGTGCGAAATCCAAGAGAAAGGCAGGAGAATCGGCTGCAGAAATCTATGAGCAGGAGATGGGTGAAAAGGCGCATAAAAAGGCAAAGAAGGGTGGTAAAAAGGGTCATTAGTTTTCTCGTTTCAAGTTGTATAATCCAACATCCTGTATATACCTCTGTATTTAATGAACGAAATGATATGGAATATCACATATATTTGAGCTTTTCGACTCATGAACGTGAATCTGAAACCTAATGACATGGAGCAAATGCGTGAGATTGGCAAGCCACCTATGGAAGAAAAGCTGCCTAACTCATGACACACCACCAAACAAAACTTTTCAAACTTCTTAAACTTTTTACACATCTTTCATCTCATATCAAAACAATCATGACCGACACAAAAGATACAAAGTCAGAAGCTCCATGGTGGAAAGCGTTCCCTGAAGCCAGAGCAAAATGTTCAGAGCTCACTGCGGATGATGTGATGAAGTTGTTTGATGATATGGATATCACATCTGAGCCGAGATCTTTCTTGTTGGTAGATGTTAGAAGAGATGATTGGGTGGTACGTATATTCCTCATATATCGCATTGGAGATATAGTCTACGTACTCTGAGAGCTTTCTCGAGCGGGAATCTATATGACACCATACCATTCTCTACGAAACTCAGTTCAAGGTTGAGGTTGGATATCTCTGATGTATGTGTGTGTAGGGCGGAACCATCAAAACTTCACTCAATCTTCCCGCTCAGAGTTTCTATCAAACTCGCAAGTCGCTGTATGAACTCTGTAATAGAGCGGGTATGACAAAGGTCATTTTCTATTGTGGTATGTACTTTTCGTGTCTGGGGTTGAGAAACGAGATGCTTATGAGATGTAGGATCATCAACGGGGAGGGGACCAAGATGTGCAGGCTGGATGCAGGATTACATTGATGATGTAGCGAAGTTTGGAAAGAAAAGTAATATGGAAGTTGCGGTTTTGAAGGGTGGTATTAAGGGGTGGGTGAAAGAGTTTGAGGGGATGCTCATGGATGGATTTGAGGAGGGGAAGTGGGAGGAGTTGAAGTAAGAGATACAGATATTATTTTCAGTCGCATTTCACATTATAGTAGGCCCAAGTCCATGAATTGCAAAAGTTCCTCTGAAAAGAGCATCAGCTCGAGAAATTATGGTTCATCTTGCCAAACAGATTGTTTTATCTCCTCTTCCGTGCTCCTCAATATGCAATCTGTATTTCATATAACCTGTAAACGCCCGGGTCCAGATATAATACTTCGATGTCCTTCCCATTCATCTTCCATCCTCAAACTCTCCAACAAATCGAATCCCTTGATAACCCTAATGCTGTTCGCGGTTTTCCCTTCCTCCACCTATTCTCTCCAATGCCTCGAGCATAACAACTGAGTTTCCGCGGATAACCTGAAGGGCTTGTTAACGTTTGAGTGTGAGTCTGCGGGAAATGCAAGAACATACAACCATTCCAATCTTTACTTTCTCACCACCGTCTTTCTCCTCAACTGCATCGTCTAGCACAATGTTCAAGAAGACCTGTTTATGCGCGTTAGCTAGCATGAATTGGGATGCGCGCAAGAAGAGGAACTCACATCATAACCTCTCAATACACCAATAACCTTTCTGCTACCATTCAACTGCACAAATAGTCTCTTATCGAGGTACTACATCGTCGCATAGTATCAGCCATCAATTTCAACTCTCCCATATTGCCTGACTCTCGCGCAGTAGCTCGAGTTGATCAATATGCTTTCAATCTCCTGCCTGCTCATATTGCCGCCAACTCCTAGAGATACGGAACATCAGAAATCGCACATACCTTCTTAAGCTCAGGCTGAGCTTGAGGCATCTTGACGATATATTTTTGTAGAATTCGTCGGGTAGATGGTGTTAAATTGGAAGCTTGACTGCTTGCGACGAATACACACCAAAATTTCGTGGCTGTATTGAGGTTTCGTGAGGCTGATGCTGGATGTCACGTGGTGATAAGAAGGTGCATTTGGGTGACTTTTATTTATCGGGATGGCGAGGCGGAAGACAGCTTCATTGTAGAAGACGCGTCTTTGTTTATTACGACTTGAGGACAGCATTTTTGGTTGATTTGACAGTAGAGGATACTGATTGATATACCTGTTTTACGGAAAGAGAAAGAAACTTCAGATTTGAAGAGAGACACGATGTCGGCAGTTCGCAAACCCCTCAAGAAATCTAATTTGCGCCGGAGTATCGCATTCGAAGATCTAACACAAGATGAAGACAATACATCGAAAATCGATACTCCCAGCGACGATAGCTCTTTAACCAAACCCCCGAGCGTCAAAACGACCTCTTTCAAGAAGAAAAAGAGACCCGCATCTTCCCGTCTCTCCTTTGGAGTAGGCGATATAATATCTGGCTCCGATGCCGAGAATCTCGAGGAAGATGAATCGTTTACGTTGGTGAAGAAACCTCTTTCGAGGAAGGTTACAGAGGGAAATGCGAAGAAGATTAATAAGAGAGTACCATTGCCGATGAGGACGAGGGATGAAGATGGGGATGGGGATGGGGATTCAGATATGGGAAGACCGAGTTATAGTAAAGACTACTTGAAAGAATTAAAGAGTTCGCAGGCTTCTGCCATGAGAGAATTGGCCGATGTAGAAGTTGGGGGAGGAGAAGAACCATTCCTCGATGCGAGTGAGCTGGAGGGAGCAATGGTTGTGGATTTACACGGGAACGGAGATATAGTTGGAGGGTTTGAAGGGAGTGCTGCGATCATACCTACCGAGGCGGAAATCAGAGAAAAGAAAGAAAGGAGGGCGAGAATGGCGAGGGAAAAAGATTTCATCTCGTTAAATGATGATGAACCAGATGGAGGAAGAATTACCTCACTTCTTCCTCGACAAAAGAAACCAGAATCAAGATTAGTGCGCGACGATGAAGAAATCATGGAAGGATTTGAAGAATTCGTAGACGATGGACGGATTTCTTTGGGAAAAAAACAAGAACGCGAGGAGAAACGACGTCGGAAGAAAGAAATGGCAGATCTGATCCAACAAGCCGAAGGAAGCTCGGATGAAGAAAGCGATGATTCAGAAGCGGAAAGAAGAGCTGCTTATGAAGCTGCCCAAACGAGAGCAGGTATGGATGGTCTTCATAAACATGATGATGCGGCTGCCGCGGGGGAAGAAAATCAGGTTCCGGCGAGAATCACACCGATTCCGGTGTTATCGGAGTGTTTGGAAAGATTACAGAATACGTTGAGTACGATGGAAATTGAATTATCTAAGCGAAAAAAGAAAATTGAAGAAGGAGAAAAGGAAAAACTGGAAATTGGGAAAAGGGAACAGGAAGTTCAAGTGTTGTTAACGCAAGCGGGTCAGAGATATGCGGCGCTCAAAGCCGATGCGAGTATCAAGGAATTGGAAATGAATGATGTGAAGGGTCTCGTGGATGCTTCTAGCGAGATGGCAAAAGAGAAGATTGGAGCTGGTGATAGGGGGTTGGAGAGCTTTGGGAATACACCGGTGAGGAGGGACGAGGTTGTTGATGGGTCTTGAGAGAGATGGGATTTGTAAGATAGGACGTTGATACCATTATAGATATTGAATCCAAAATCACCTGGCGTGGCTACTTCTGGTCAGCCTTGAGGAGTTTAAATTACATACCTACCAAGGTAGGTAGGTACTTGGTAGCTTCAAAGTAAATCGTGTCCGAATCCCCAATGTCAAAATCATCTTTATTAATATACACATACATACACAAGTAATTCCAAAGTACTCTTGATAATACACATATATATGGATATCCATCCCATTCCAACCCTCCAATACTCACCTCAGCAAGAGCCAACCGTCTACAACTACAAATAACCATCATCATCAATTCCCCCACTCAAAAATCTTCATCACTACATCCACAAAAACCACCAAGAATACCTTCCTACCACGCCATAACCAAGCATCCATACTATATGCAAGGAAACTTGATAGGTATCCAAACATAACTTACCGCAAGCACTATCTACTTGGTACTATATCGCGTCAGGCATACATATCACCTCTTATCTCCATTTTCCCATCTACCTCATCTTGTCTCGTCTACTTCCCCCTTTCTCCATCCAATATTTGCCGTTTTACCAATCTGTGTAATCAGGCAAGCAAGCAAGCAAGCAAGCAAGCAAGCAAGCAAGCAATCAATCACTGTTCACAACTAACCATTCATCCAATCTGAACAGTTTCCTTTCTTGCCTCATAACAAAATATTTATTTCCATTTTCATTTTCAACAGCTACCTACATGCCATGCCATGCCATGCCATACCATACCATACCAGCTATCCCACCAACATAACAAACAAACGCTGGCTGCAAAAGCAATCCTCTTCCTAACCCCATTGTTTTTTTGAGTTCCAGCCTTCGATCATCATAAAAAACGATCCATCCATCCATCCATCCAACCATCCATAACCCAGACCGATGCAGATCAGTGTATCCCACCATCCACTACCATATCCCAATGCAACCAATCAACGCTAGCGACGCAAGTAACCCAGATCAAAGCTTGTCTTTATGTTTATAAAGAGAAACAGATCTGAGCCTGAGCCCATCCCCACTTACAAGTAGAAGTGAAGGCGACGGTAGAAAGTATAAAAGTATAAAGCACACAAGTAGGTAAGCAAACACGCTTCAAATGCCCCATCGCCAATGCGCCCGCCAAACAGCCAAAAATAAGATAAAAACACAACTTAAAGTTCCTCTTCGGCTCGTTTCATTTACCCAGCTACTCAGCCCCCTAACCAAACCAAGTAAACCACATGAAAACGGCACCAACCACCCACAGCACTCTCCAAACACTACACCCCATCTCTCTCAGTATCCTCCCCATTTTCGTAGTTCTAAATCCTCCCCACCAGACCACTATCTTCCAGGGTTTGTAATTCCTCCTCCTCTCCATCTCCACTTTCCTCTTCCTCTCCCTTTCCATCTCCATCTCAAATTCCCTCTCACTTTCCCACCTAAGTCTTCCCTCCAACCCACCATAATACCCCGCCTTCTCAATCAACGGCTGAGCCTGTTGATACAGACCTCCATTCGGATACCCCTGTCCTGGCAACCCATATCCATTCGCCGGACTCGAGGTTCTCGTTCTGGAAGTCCGAGTTGCGAGATTATTAACCGTAGCCGTACTCGAAGTTGACGAATTCCCTTCACTCCTCCGATCTTTTTCCTCCTCATCTTCGCGTTTGAGATCTTTGATACTAGTTGGCAACAGCGAGAATTCCGAATCAATTGGACTACCCGGGCCCGAAGGAGACCCTCTTGAATCGAGGGCGAAAGGGGTAAGATTTGTAAAAGGCACGAGAATCGCTCGAATAATCAAGAGAAGAAGTGATATACCCACCAAAATGCCATAATTTATAAGAATACCAATTTGATCCGGTAATAAGCAAAGATGCGATTCCATCGTCGTGGAAATATGCGTGTTTTCAGCCCCGTGACCCGTAGGAATTGCATGTAGAGGTTTTCCATCCGCGCCAACTGGATTCCACATACTCAGCATGAGAAAACCAGGTTTTCGAATTCCCATTGCCCAATTCATACTTTTGACTGTTATTTCTCGGGCGTGATTTTTGTCTTCTGGATGTACTAATTCGCAATAATCGTGATCGTCGCCTGAGAAGACAGAAACTACATTGCCAATTTTTGAGATTAGTTTTTTGGAGTCGTCATCGCCGAGGACATTTTGGTATTGATATCCTTTGGATACACTAATGGCATTTCTATGATCGGGTGTGACTGGCATGGTCTGACCCTTTGGTGGTGGAGTTGGTGGCCAATGTTCTCGGAGAGGACCGCATGGAGTTCCAGGATTTCGATATAGCGGTACATGCGTAAGAAGAATAGTAGGAAATTCAGCACCATTTGGTCCAGGGTCAAGCGTTGGTAAGTGTGCGTAATCTGCTAGTTCAACATCTTGAACTGAATGAGAATATTGTATAACTCTTTCCTTTCCAGCCTGAAAGTCCAACTCTCTAGCCACGGCTTTTCGTTTGGAGACTTGAACATTGTTCAGAAATTCCTCGACCGGTTTGGTAATAGGTGCAGTCTCACTAACTGGACGTTCTGATGCTCCAGCACTCAATGATACCGAATCCACAGAAACAAAGGTATGGTTCGCAATAACATCCACTCTGTTTACATCTCCAAAGTAAACCTCAAATCGATCCCGAATGGGAACCTTAATTTGTGCGCCGAAGCCCAGATCATGATTCCCTGGTAAACTTGCAATGAGCTTTCGTCCTCTTTGCCCAACTCCGGCTTCTGTTCCTCCTAAATTCCAATTGTCCGAGAAGATTCTAGAGAATCGACCATATTCCTTCAGCCAAAAATCCTCTCCGTATCGTTTCCCCCAACTCTCCACATGTTTTTGCTCTTTTTCTGGTCGTCTTCCTTTTGCCCATGCTTGATCTTCTGAATTTCCATGCGCGGTCTTCCATTCTCTTCCTCCGTCAAATAAATCTCCCAAGAAAAATATAGTATCTGGATGTAATTGCTTCGAAAGCTGTATATAAGACCTCTTCATATAATTATCCGTGTGCCATACGGTGAAAGTCGACAACGGCCATGGCCTATCAGGGTATGAATGCGGATCCGTTAATTGAGGGTCTGCCAGAAAGATTAAGTGATGCGGCGTAGTATTTGGAGGCTATTCAAATGGAACATATTCATCAGCCTCGTCCTATCCATCTCAAGAATATCGCCCCCTCCTCAAGAAAACTCACCCATCTCTCCCATTTCTCCCACGCACAAGCTCGCACAGCTTCCTCGAAAACCCAGCGCTCTCCAGACAATAAGACAACCACCCAAACACACACCAACAAATGCGGTAAACTGAAAGCTCGTCTCCAACTCCAATCTCTCATCCATCCCCTCACTAACCTCGGTATTCTCGATGTCTTCCCCCCAACCAAATTGAAATTCTGTTGGTCTGCCATCCTCTGCAAAGACACGGCCAGATCCGTCGGCAGAACCAATAATAACCTTCTCCAGATTGAAGGAGGTTCCCTAAAATGATCGCGCGTCGAATGGATATATTGAGAATGATGAGAAAAAGCTGCCATTCTGACAACTTCCACTTGTGGTTTGCTTCCCCTACCTATGTAGTATCAAATGCCATCCATACCCGAATCCCCTTGGCTAAGATTCGGTACCAAGGAATGATGACCAAAAATTATGTTATATTAAGGTACGTACTCCTCTTATGTGTAATACTATGCCTACTCTGGGTATTTGTGGGAGAATTCGTATTCTTCTCTGTGCATATCTAGAATTGGGGTAAATGACTATTTTGTGTCGTCGATGGAAATTATTTGATTACGACGCTGGGAAATTCAAGCTTGGAGCTTGTAGGAACTAAAATTGGGGATCAGATGAGAGGCTGAGCCCTGGAAGGACCCTGTAGATTATTGTGCGATAACGATGGATAGGTAAGGGTTGATATTCAGGGGCTTCGACTAGGATCGTCTAAGTTAAAGAAAGTTTATACATTCATTTGTTTACTTACCTACTTATTAGGTTTTTATATGAAACAATCTGGAAGAGAGCGGAGTCCATATTTGAGAATCTAGATGTTCGTTTCTATATATATACATATATATATCTATATCTATATATACAAACATGACTACAGAAACGTATCTATTACTATATAAAAGTACTAGGTATATGTATGATAAATAGAGCAAGACTAGACGCCACAGAGTAAAGAATGAGAAAGTTGTTAAAGTATATAGAAACTATACAGACTGGCTACTCAAATTGGATACTAAATCAGATCATATACATATATCTCTTCCCTCACGATTAGTCTGCCTCCACGGCAGTGGCCCCCGGAGGGCCAGAGGAGCGTCATCTAAAGTTACCAACTCAAACATCCATCTTACAAAATTTAGTACGATAGTCAGCTCTGCAAGTAGTCAAGTCTCTCATACTGTAAAGGCCAGCAAATTGTTGATTTTATGCGATCAGTATAATCCCATTCATGGGGGCAAGCCCCCAAACCCCCTTTGCTCGCTGCGCTCGAAATAAGACTGAAGTAGACATTAGCGATATATATAAGGACATGATATAAACCAAGTACGATTTCTGATCAACATCTAAGCTTGTTCAGAAACATTTAAAACTCCCAGGCTAAATTAGATAAGACAATATAGATCTATACTGAAACATGGGGGTATCAATCATCATTATCGTTATCATAAGTATCATAGAACCTCTTCTTCCTGTTCATCCAGATTCTCTTTCAAGAAGACATGGCTGTTCCAACCCATTCTCCTCACTTGAATTTGCATACTTTCAAGTACTCTCTGTTTGACCCCTTTCTTGCTTCCATTACTACCATCAACCACATCCGTGCCTACAAAAGCTCCATGTGTACTTGAGAAGCCATGAGGTTTCAACACCTCCCACATTCCAGCTACTTCGTCCGCACTCAAGGGTATCATATTAGGAATACTCCACATGAAAGCATAACTATTCATTCCATCCGGTCTTGTATTTTTTCCTCCCCCAGGACCCTTACTCCAATCTCCCAATGCACTTGGTGTGGTTACCAGAGTATCCGCTACCAATAATCTTTCATGAGCAAGACAAACCAAGCTTCCTGGAAAGTGCCCACCGAGCTTCAACATCTTAACACCCGTCTTCTCACCCCGTATCTCAAGCTCCTCTTCTTTTCCCTCAACAAATGTTCTAGCTTTTCCCATTCTATCAAGTCGGTTCAACCAACTCTTATCCTCCCAACTCAAGTAGACAGGACAATCGAATGTCTCTGCCCAATCCAAATGTGTAGTATAATAATGCGGATGAGATATCACAATCGCCGCTAATCCACCCAGCCCATGGATCCAGTCCACAGTCTCATCATCCAAATAAGTTATACAGTCCCACAGCACATTCCCAAGCGGTGTCTTGATAAGAACCGCTCGTTGTCCTATGGCAAATTTAGGTTCGGTCCATATATTCCAGAATCGATCATCGTTATCGAGTTGTTTCCATTGATTCTTATATTGACCCCCAGCTTTCAAAGCCGCAAGTGTAGTGAATGCTTGACCACTGGGCGGTACGAATTGTCGTGGGTCGTCGCATATTCGACATCTGGTAAGAATCGATCGCTCTTCGGCATCAAACTGTGTACCGCATGCTGTACATATGAGTAGATGTTCTGAGTTGGACATGATGGATGCCGGTGGGGTTTGGTATTCGTGACGAGGATCTTCGAAATCGTGAACAGCACCGTCGTGAACTATGGCTGCCGGTGTCGAGATGGAAGAATATGGAGTTGAATGAGTCGACATCTTGATAAGAAAGATAACTATGTGGCAGTGTTGGACGATGTATAAAAAGAGGGGTAGAAAGTAGTCAGATGATCCGGAGATGGTGTTGACGCTTATTAGCAGCACGTTTATCGTATAGCCAAGGTACTCGAGTAGCCTCGTAGCTTCTCCTGATATGATTTGTTTGAAGATTTTGGTCGAGTTTTCGTTTGACACACCACAGCTATCGCACGCTACACCACTTTTCCCCGCAATATGCTTGTTTTCTGATTTGATACGTTTAAACCTTGGAATGCGTTGAATTCTAACTAATTGGCCAAATTAGGAATGTACAGCCGCTTATCTGGAGGGAGGGGTCCTTCCGTTCCAGGCCGGATATCAATGGCTTTAAAGTCCCCCGTCTAGCTACAACTTGAGCCAACATTCTTCGTCGATTTCTCTTCCTATCTGTGTCGTTGATATTGTAAATACCCTCACATATTTGCGCAGTGTCGACTTGTTCATATTCAAAATGGTTTTCCTACTTGATTATTTCCAACACAGGAGGGATTGGTAAGTGTTCATCCCACGCTCCATGCTCACATCTTATCGTTATCAAAATCACCTTGGTGCGAGAGAGGAACTCTGGGGAATGCCAAGCACAGCAATATCTAACTTTCCATATAGTCAATTCAAACAAGCAGAACGAACTCAACGAATACAAAGCCTCACGAGTTATCATGGAGCATTTACCAATCCAGAAAGACAAGTTCTCTCGAAACCCATTGAGGAACTAGTCAAAGATGTTCACAATCAAGCTGTCCAACCAATTGATATCCTTCGAGCATACGGAAAAGCTGCAATCAAAGCTCATGAGAAAACAAACTGTGTAACGGAAGTTATGATTGACGCTGCTGAAGGTTGGACTACAGATGGAAGTATTAATTTCAAGGGACCATTAGCAGGTATCCCTATAAGTCTAAAGGATTCAATTGTAGTTGGTGGTTTCGATACAACCGTAGGATACAGTAGCAATGTTGGTAACAAGGTAGAGAAGGATGGAACCATGGTGAGAATATTGAAAGATGCTGGAGCCATTCCATATGTCAAGACAAATCTTCCCATTACGTTACTAAGTTTCGAATCAACAAACGATCTCTGGGGACGATGCACAAATCCTCATAATGACAAATACTCGCCAGGTGGATCTACCGGTGGTGAATCTGCTTTATTAGCAGCTGGTGGTGGAAGAATTGGAATTGGTTCAGATGTTGCTGGATCAGTTAGAGTTCCAGCGCATTTCTCGGGAATCTATAGTTTGAGGTGCTCAACTGGAAGATGGCCGAAGAATGGTATGTGCACAAGTATGCCAGGTCAAGAAGGTATTCCTAGTGTGTTTAGTCCCATGACAAGAACCTTGGAAGATCTCTCATATTTCACAAAGTCTATGATTGGTATGCAGCCATGGAAGTATGATCATAGTGTCCACCCTATTCCATGGAGAAAGGAAGCATGGAAGGATTTCAGCGAAAAGAAGAAGTTTAGAGTTGGTGTACTAAGAACTGATGGTGTTGTGGATCCAAGTCCCGCTTGTATGAGAGCTGTGGATGAAGTAGTGGCTGTACTGGAAGAAGATGGCCACGAAGTCTATGATGTTAATCCACCATCTCCATACGAAGCACTTTATCTTGGCTCACAACTTCTCAACGCTGATGGTTGCAAGACATTCAAATCATTCTTCAGAACTGGCGAATGGGAAGATCCCGGAGCAAAAGCAATGAGCTTTCTTATGTCATTACCAAGTCCATTCAAGTGGATGTATTGGGCCTGGGTCAAATACGTTAGAGGAGATGATACTTGGGCTGGATTGGTCAAGGAATGGCATGAGAAATCTGCTTATGAGCAATGGAAACTCGTCGCCAAAAGAGAAGCTTACAAAGCTAAATTCCATGCTTGGTGGGAAGAAGAAGTGAAACTCGACTTCATGATCACTCCACCAAATGCCACACCAGCGGTGCCTCACGACGGAATGAAAGATGCAGTCAGCAGTTGTGGTTACACTTTCTTATTCAACTTGGTGAGTTTATTGCATAACCCCCTTGAAATTTCCAGCTAACAAAAATAGCTCGACTACACTGCAGGCATCATGCCTATTACCCATGTTGATAAAGAACTCGATCAACTCCCATCCAATTTTTCCCTTAAATCTCTGAATGGTGTCGCATACGGTGCTTATAAGCATTACGACGCAAACGCTATGCATGGACTTCCGGTAGCGATACAAGTAGTGGGTCAAAGATTGGAAGAGGAAAAGGTTCTTGCTATTATGCATAGGATTGAAGATTTATTGGATGAGGATAAATACAAACTTTTGGAAATCGATTAAGAAGGTGATCTTACATATGACTGCTTTTCAAGAGCGAAATCGGAGTTGGGAGGCAGGCCATTGAATATTGAGCATGTTTTTGACACGGGAGTGAGATTTAGTTGATAGAATAGATTAATATCTAAAATACCCTCTAAAATTAGTATGTTAGCATGAGTGTGAAATTCGAAAGTTGTGAATGGTCGTAGCCTATACGACCGACCCAAAAGGGGTGGATAACTCGAAGCGCGATCGGAGTCACTGTCATATTTTGAGAATTTCTTCCAAACTAAATTAACCCCCGAGTCAACTCAGCTGTCGTGTTTTACATCATAAACATAAAGCAGGAAAACGCAATGGTGGATTGGGTTTCGAGCGTTCGCTTCTGTCCCCTATCTCGCATCGCGCCGACATCGGAGGTGAACATCTGAACCTCAACTTTACATTCGATGTCATCTCACAGGAGGGCTAATGGTATATAAAAGGTAAGATATCTGCACCCAATTCAAAAATTCGACAGTTCGATCTTATTAAGTGATCATTACTTGTTGTTTGCCGTTCTTGGATTTCTTGGTATCGATATTTTAATTCATTTCGAATCGACCTTTCATCGAATCGTCACGACGTCCACGACTACAGCTATAACTGCAGCCACGATTGAGAACTAAACTCTAGAATAGAGATCTCGAATTCGAAATTCACGTTGAGAATTATCATTTCTGTGATTGAAAATCATGGAAAAAGCTAAGAATCAAGAGGATCACTGGTCTGCTTCGGTATCGTTCCCCTCTTATTCTTCTGCCCTTCCCTTCTTCTTCGTTCTAATTTTTCTTCGGTATTCTTCCTTCATACGATTTTCCCCACAAACTGTGACGAGAAATGGGAGAATAGGAAAATGATATCCATGGGGAGAATGAAGATTAGAAAATAAAGCTAATATGTATGAAATAGGCCTATCAAAACTCCGCTTCCTTTGTTCCAAAGCTTGCAGGGAAAGTCTTGGGTTGGTTGGATGTGCAGAGTGATGATGTGGTGTTGGAAATTGGGTGTGGTGGTTAGTTGTTGTGTCTTCTTCTTCTTCTTCTTCTTCTTCTTCTTCTTCTTTTTCTTCTTCTTCTTCTTCTTCTTCTTCTTCTTCTTCTTCTTCTTCTTCTTCTTCTTCTTCTTCTTCTTCTTCTTCTTCTTCTTCTTCTTCTTCTCTTGCGAATTTACTAGTGCGCGAGGTGGGTGTGTTGGATTGGGCTATCGTTTCTTTCGGGTATCATCTTACTTGAGAGAGGAGTGGGAGGAGAATGAAGAGAGAGGAAGCAGAGGAAATGCAACAGGACGAGAACAAACAGACTGACTTTGCTCGCCTATGTAGATGGAATCATCCCCATTCAGATCGCACACACGCTTTCCAAAGGATCAGGAAGTATCCATGGAATTGACAGTTCGGAGGATATGATTGCTGCTGCCAAAAAGGCTGCTGTTGCAGAGGGTGAAGAGATTCCGGGAATTTGTACATTTCAAGGTACTTGCTTACATTTTCATTTTTGCTCCCATTCTCCTGTCCATCTATTCACCCTTGCATTCTCCCACACCATACTTACACTGCCCCAACACAACCCAGTCCTCGACGCATCTTCCCTTCAAGATCTCTCCACTCTCCCATCCCAAAGCTACACGAAAATCTTCTCCAACGCCGCACTCCATTGGATTCTCCGCCCTGAATCCATCCGTATACAGTTCTTCACAGAAGTCAAAAGACTTCTCAAACCCAACGGCATTTTCGTTTTCGAAATGGGGGGTATGGGTAATGTAGCCGAGATGCGCACTGCGTTTTTGAGTGTTATCGGGCGTCGCTGTGAGGGGGGGTTAAAGAGGGCGAGGGAGGCGGATCCCTGGTTTTTTCCTGATGAGGCGTGGATGAGGAGTGCGCTTGCTTCGGCTTCTTCTTCTTCGGATGTTGATAGAGAAGGAGAAGGAGAATGGAAGATCGAGAAATTGGAAACGGAATACAGGGCAACGCAGGCAGATAAGGGGGGAATAGAAGGCTGGGTGAAGTTGATGGGGAAACAGTTGTTTGATGTTCTTGGGGATGGGGAAGAGAGAAAGGAGGCCGAGAAAGAGGTTTGTGAGGTTTTGGAAAGTGTGTGTAGGAGTCCGGGGGGTGGAGATTGGATTGGCTATGTGAGGTTAAGGGGGATGATTAGAAGGGTTTAGAGTCTGGGGTTTGAGGCTCTGGGTTTAGGGGGGAGGATGTTTGGATTTCTGGGGTTGGCTGAATGATCTGATGAGAAAGTAGATGTCAAGGAGAGGGCTGGTAGGTTGATTCTCATTTCTGCTATGTTAGTCTTTAACTTGGTTTTTATGGAAAGAAGCTGCACGCCTACAAATCCTCCTCGGAAGAAGTTTCTCTGCAACTAGAAAAATACTCAAAAACGTGACTTTTGAAGCCCATGAAAGTGCACAATGCCTATTCCGGTACTTGGACCAAACTTTTTTCGTCCCAAGACTCGAAACTAGTTCGCCACATTAGAAGTTCATTTTTATCGAAAGGTGGAGTTACTCCTGTATCAACTGGTGGGAGAAATGAGTACTTGGTATTTTTGCTCCATATTGCATTATCGCCATTGACATTTCTTTAATTTTATTCCTGTTGCTATTATCGTTCGAGAAAATCCGACAATTTGTTGTCATTAAATTAATTCATATTATCACATTTCATCTCACGACTTTTTTCCATCTCTCCTTTCTCACTTTGGATCCCCGCTCTCGAATTGTCAGTTAAGTAAGTGTAGAATATAGCAAGAAATTTAGATACGGAGTCTTCGATCTAACTATGAGTCCGGATGAGAGTGAGTACAGCTCGGATAGTACAGCAGAGATTGATAACAAAGAGGCATTTTTTGAGCATGAGAATGGTGTGATAGAATTCGAAAGGCAGATTTGGAAGCTATGAGAAGTGACGGGGAGAGACTGAGTTAGAGATCATAATACGCACAGTTGAGAGCACATGGTAAATATATATACTTCTATTGGATAAAAGTTTCTAGGCTCTTTCAAACTCTTGGATCAGTATAAAGAGAGCAGATTTTCCCTCCCAGTGTCAAAATATTGCAGTTAAGACCACGGAAACATACGTCTTCATTTTTGCTTGCTATCATTACACCATCATAATAGCAGGGGGATTGCCAAGGCATGTGTTGCCAGCGAGGAATCATTGTCGAACTGAAGCATGATTGTTGAGTGTCATTATTAAGGACCTATTTGTCTTCTTTTATCATCGCTCAACTTATTCAACATGAGAATCTCACATGCGAGAGCAGAGTTACGCTTCGGCATTCACCGTCTGGAGAGATTCATCACATGTTTTCTCATCATCGGTCAATGTTTAAGTTTTGTGACAATGAGAACCTCACAAATGAGGAATCAGTTTGTGAATATAAGTGAGTTTTATACAATTACAACCTCCAAGATGCAGTTGTTTGATAATTCAAAGTCTACGCAACTACACCCCACCAATCTCTTGGAAAAAGCCCAGTGTCGAAACTCACAGAAGTGTCGTGGATATCTGGTGCATTGAGAATAGCGCTTTTATGCTCAGATTCGATGCTACCTACGCGAGAACTCGAGAAGTTCTCGATTTTCAAAAGAACAACCATTTGAAGTGGAAATGGAAGGTAATTTAGTTGTGTGTAAATCGCAGTTATTTTTAGTTCCGCTTGCAAAACCCAGCGCTCGCGTTACACATGGCTATGCTTGAAGAACACTGTGTGTTTAAATAATATACGTCTTCTCTCGATTCTCGTTAGTCTGAGGATTGAGCAGATGATACTCTTTTGTTTGATTTGGAGTTTCTGTATTTTCAAGTTTGAAATGTTCATGCTGTAATAAAGTTGAGCATGCATATATTCCTAAGGAAAGATTCCTCATTACGTTGAATGTAACCTAAGAGCTTTTGTAGCTCCCCAACAGAAATACTATCATTAAAACCTATCGCTGTCTTAAAAATTCACCACTATCATCTAGATATCTCGTTGTCGGTTCGACTCATACTAATCAACGCTCTCGTATGGTATATTATTATCAAGCCGAGATCCCATTACTTCTTCGAGAGTAATAATATATCCAGCATTCTGGGCACGATAGAATTTTCGAGAGATGATGGATAGAGATATTTGAACTAGAGGACTTCCTCTAACTCTGCAATACGGAGCTGAACGAACGCCAAGGGTTTTTTCTATTCATAGGGCGAGCTTTGTATACACTTAGATTGTGGAGGAAAGAGGCTTGGCTTGGAAGAAGAAGAACAGGGAACACAATGTTTGGATGAGGTGGGAGGTGGGCTGGATAGGAATACTAAAGGTTTTGTTGTCATTGTGGATGGATATGTCACTTGAAGACTTGTGACACACCATTTAACTTTCTGTCTAGTTTCAAAATTACTCAGGAGCATAATTTCACTCATCTTGTAATTCTATCTTTACATCTGAAGTCACAGCGATGACTAGTTTTCTGCCACCATCGCGTTGATTTCTGGTGTTGTTTATAAAACTGACAGTGCATTGCCGTAAGTCATTTCAATATCAACCCTAAATTACACAAAATCGCGAGGATGTCTGTAATCGACCTCCGAGCTTCCCTTGATGGACTATGAGCTGATATAGCTTGCGGAACGCATCGCCCTCAATAATAACAATGCTCTCCCATTATTCTCTAGATTTATGATATTATTTAAGAAACGAGAGACCCGTATCAAGCGAAATCAATTGAACATCAACGTGGAAGACCATTATTGCTTAAGTATGCCTGAAGTATCCAGCTTGGAGGAGTTTGTTTGAAGTTTCCGTGAAGGCCATTGCGCGGTGTGCGCACTTGCTCGTGTAAATACTTGATACATTCAGATATGAAGGTACCAACCGAAGCTGTAAACAATGAGAAAAATCCTTTCCACCATATCATGAGCCACATTCACTTGATGAAGCACCTCAAACCATCCTATCACAAGTCTTGACGTATGCCCTTCAGAGAGAAATCTAACTCTAGATGTGCAACAAACTACCAAAAGTCTCGAGTAACCTCAATCAAACTTCATGATTCACCAATTCCTAACAAAATGAAAGTCATATCGCGAATCCTAATCATGATACTGAAAGACGAGTAGTATCCCACCCCTGCCATATCGTTATCACATAAGCACAAGGCCTGAATCCTTCAATCTCTATACGCCAGTTCGGTGAATACTAGGCCAAATATGGCATAGCAATTGTATTAGATAACTTCCCCAGATATCGAGATACAATGTTTCCACGAGCGGTGCAATCATCTTGTCACCTCTTTGAACTTCGAAGTTTGGTTGCACATCTAGAGATTAAACTTTCTCCGGACGCACAATATCTTATCTCTCGGTTGGAATCGTAAAGTTTTGTTGCATGTCTGGAATTCGAACGCTCTCCGGAAAGCAAAGTTTGCTTCTCAGACTTAAGACATGACTAGATTGCTCAATGGTTGCAGTGAATGGCCATAGTATGATGGGTCAGCAGCAAGAATGGCACGGGGGTAGTTTTCTCTTCTCTCATGGTCTCGTTCATGAATAAGATAGTGTTGATATACCCTTCTTTTCAAATGATAATAAATGAATACTTTGGAACATTTTGACCCGAGGTCAAATAGTTAGAAGGCCCAACATCCACTCATTCTCACGACACGTTTAATTGATTCGTTAACAAGGCAAAACTATTGGACTTTGCCTCCGAGTTAGCCGGACATGAGCGAGTGCGAAGAATATACAATAGACTGTATTCATTGACTTGAATTGGCGCCGGTCAAGCCTCGTATCTGTAGATTTCTTCCCACACCCTTGAGCTGACATAAAATCGGACCGAGAATACTACCAATATAGAATCATCATCATCGTTTTTGCAAAGATGTGAGATAAATAATGCTACCATGTTTGGCAGATGAGATCCTGGGGAAAGTGAAGTTGTCTCTACCTACGGTAGGGTTCGCCTTACCAGATTTGTAAATATTGGAGTAAATCTGGAAAAGGACCGAATCCCCGCACCTCCGCAAACTGCAGATCAATCCTCTAGTTATATGCTTCAATTGCTATTCGTACAATCCACATGAAGTTTTGGGGGGTATCTCTGCATTCTTTTCGCGAGATGCTTATCATGTCGCTTGATAATATGCCACTTTCAATCTATCATGTCGATTAGGCCACTAGCCTTATCAATGTCGATGGTACTTTGACAGCACATGGATTTTTCACTAAAATAGTTTGAGTTGCCCACTCTCAATGACGAGAAGTGCCACGCAAAGCATCAAAACCGAGTCAAGGAACATCAAGGAACCGATCCAACTTCTAGTTCCCCCTAGTAAAAGAAGGACTCTGACCTGAACCGTCTAGCCGGCGGATTCTGAAATTCGCAGGGAAGAAAACAGTATCAACATGTCCTATACGAGTGAAATCCATTGTGCACTTCGTGCATCAAGCTTATGCACGAGCTCTCATCCTACTTTACTGGCGTCACTAATCTCCATGCGGGGCAGCAATTCCATCTTGCATCTCCTCATATCCACTAAATCTAACCTGGAGACTCCAGAATCCAGCGACTTTGTCAATGTGGGACATTGTTAAGATTCCACGTGATGGTGGATCATATGCTGACGTATATCCGCTTTAGCAACTTAAAGCCCGTTTACCTTACCATAGATGGAAAAGTTGTCAGCGTTGCGATTCAAACAGGAAGTCTAATCCGAGCACCTGTCGGGCCTTATATTGCGCTTATTGACTCAAACTATGGAAATCGAGGTTGGTTTATCGATTCATTGGAATTTTATGAGAGCTTCGTAAGCCAAGGTGAACGGGTATCGGCACAAACACTGGGTCTCCAATTTGGGGTTCAGTAAGGTTGAGAGTCGGCTAAACGTCGGTTATCGCTCTTATTCCCAGTGTTCAGTGCCGTTTCGACACCCGAGTCGGCTTTAGCAAGGAGTTTGGCTTACAAAGAGAGGATTTTGGAAAAAACATTCTTTCGATACAAGGAAAGTAATTAATTGCTTTGGTGATGTGCTCTGATGTATGTCTGTCTGTCTCCTCCAATAAGGCGTGGTCATCGGGTGATTATGGACGTTGATTAGTTCGTATGGCTGTCAGACTGTGAGGATGCTCGGATATCAATCCTAGAATCCCGCTATTTGTCGGGACCGAAAATAAGAAATTGTTGAAGCAATTTCAGAATTTTATGCTCATTTTTCATCATCTACATCCTTCGGTATCTAATGATATGATGCTGGTAAAACGATCTGTTGCGGGAACTAAAATTGTCTGATTGACAAAATTCTTGAAAACGTATAGAGCTAGAACTGATGTGAGCCCCTTCATTTTCCGGAAACTCTCCTCGTCACCATTTCACAAATGTCCCCACCACAGTGTCTCCACTGACACCAGGAAAAATAGAATTATCAAACATGCACTAGGATATTCTTACCATATACGAAGTAGAGATTCAGCTTCTTGATGTTCAAAGTGATGTTGGGGTTTCCCCACCCCGACGAACCTCGGGGTCGAACAGTCACTCCATCTGGAGAGAAAGGGCCGAATAGCTATGGAGTCTATCTTACCCGCCGCCCGCAAAGTGTTGTTAGCGGTCGAGGAGAAGTCATGAGTGCGGAGTTTAGAGGAGTTGTAAACATTGTCTTGTTCGTTGCCGACATGTTCGTATTAGCGAGAGAAGTCTTCGATTATCGACGAGAAACTTATTGACTATCGCGCTTATTTGTCTGATGTCGTTGAAGGCCAAGAGTCCAAGCAAAGCTTGACGATATTCGCATGACGAACAGCGCCCCAGTCGACGGGTGGCTTGTAGAGCCAGCCTGACAGTTGATAGGCTAAGGCTTCGGAGCCCTATTAATCGCACTTTGGCACTATAATCCTTGCATCTAGTTTGTTCCCGTAGCCTTGGCACATGATCCAGTGGTAGAATCCTAGCCGAAACTTATCATTCTTCAGGGTGGCGCGCGCGACTCTCTAATTCAGAAATAGAAGAATGGTCTAAAATTGGGGAATTCAGAGAGGACACAACTTCTGGTCTAATGGGAATGCAAGGAATCAGGATATTCAGGAGTGGCTTGAGCTCCGGTTGTTTATTGACAAATGGCAACCCGAGCTACTGGCAACGAATCCTGGGGAGGAAGTTGGAAAAGATGAAAGAATGGGGATCTTCGTATGACATTCAGGCTTCCCCGAATCCTCCATGAGTTCTATCCATGCATTGATAACCAAAGAGTTGGGAATTAACGCGTGGCACACCTTCCCAGAGCGTCCACTTTGAAGTGGGGAGAATCTTTTGCTGAAAGACTACTCTTGAGTTTATCTGCTGTTTAGTGTTCTCGAGCCTAAGCTTGATCGGGAATCCCCGCGGGAAAGGCTTTATCCTTGAATATCCGTAGAAAGTGGGAAATACGGAGTATATATATATGAAGTTCTCTTCTTCTTTGTCTTCTTTTCACAGACTGTCTTCATTTCGTCTTCATCGGGCTCCGCCTCCCCTCATTTCACTCCTCCAATTGCGCTCTCGTTTCATTTTCACGCCGACGACAATGGCCATTATGGCAGAAAAGGGGGCTCCGAGCCAGTCGCTCGTTGCTCGACAGAATGCAGCCAAAGCTCATGGTCTCATGGGCATGCTCAAGAATCCTTATGTGTTCTTGACGTGTTTATTCGCATCATTGGGTTGTATGATGTATGGTTAGTACAAGCATTTCCATTCCTTATGACTAGCGAGCACTGGCTAACATTGGAATAACAGGTTACGACCAAGGAGTCATGTCCCCAATCCTGGTTATGGAAAACTTCGAGAACGAATTCCCAACTCTCACTTCGTCGACACTTCAAGGATGGCTCGTTGCTTCCCTTGAGCTTGGTGCCTGGCTCGGGGCTCTTTTCAACGGATACCTCGCAGATAAAATCTCAAGAAAATACAGTATGATGGTTGCCGTTCTCATTTTCACACTCGGTACTGGTCTCCAAACCGGTGCTCAGAATCCATCATACTTCTTCGCAGGTCGTATCATCGGCGGTGTGGGTATTGGTATGTTCTCCATGGTCATTCCATTATATCAAGCAGAAATTGCCCCTCCAGAACTTAGAGGATCTTTGGTGTCACTTCAACAACTTTCCATTACCATCGGAACTACCATTGCTTTCTGGCTCGACTTTGGATTCTCCTTCTCTGGTGGAAACAAGTGTAAGCCAGAGGGTATTGCAGACCCATATCTCGCTGATGGCACCTACAATGCTGCTGCAAACCATGGACACCCTTGTACCGGTCAAAACCAAATTTCCTGGAGAGTCCCATTGGCATTGCAATTGATTCCAGCATGGACCCTTTTCATTGGAATGTTCTTCTTCCCATTCTCTCCTAGATGGTTGATGTTGAAGCATCGCGAAGAAGAGGCTATTGCATCTCTCTGCAAACTCAGACGTCTTGACGCCAATGATCCATTATTGCGAGCCGAATTCCTCGAAATTAAGGCCGCTGTCATGTTCGACGAGGAAACCCAAGCGGAGCAAATTGGCGCTGGTGGAATGATGGCCCCATGGAAAGCATTATTCGTTCCTCATGTATTCAAGAGAATCTTCTTAGGATGTGCTATGATGGTGTTCCAACAGTTTACTGGTATCAACGCTGTCTTGTACTATGCCCCTCAAATTTTCGCCAGTTTTGGTTTCTCTAGCACTACCACTACTCTTCTCGCTACTGGGGTCACTGGTATCTTGCAAGTTCTCTTCACTTTACCAGCTGTTTTGTACCTTGATAAATTCGGTCGCAAGACTTTCCTGATCGCTGGTGCCATTGGTATGTGCATCTGCCACATCGTTGTCGCTGCCGTCGAAGGTGTTTACGAAGACCAATGGAACCTCAATGAAGGCCTTGCTGTTACACAAGGATGGGTCGCCATTGTGTTCATTTGGTTATTTGCGGTCAACTTCGCCTATTCTTGGGGACCTGTCACTTGGGTTCTTGCTCAAGAAATCTTCCCAGCCAGTGTCAGATCCCGTGGTGTCTCCCTTGTCGCATCTACCAACTGGATGTTCAACTTTATCATCGGCTTGACCACCAAAGACATGCTTGACTCCATGAAATATGGTACATACATCTTCTTTGCTGTATTCAGTGCCGGAGGTGGTTTCTTCATCTGGAAATTCTTCCCTGAAACAAAGGACAAGACATTGGAGGAACTCGATGTGTACTTCGGCGGTAGCATTGACAGTATTGCGGCTGCAGATAAAGCAAGAATGCAAAGTATCAACGAGAGACTTGGTCTTGCTAATGCCGAGCGACCCGAAGATATCAAGTTGAACAACGACGAGAAGATTGCTACAACTATTCACCAAGAATTGTAAACCAAAAAGTTGATGTAAGGGTCCTGGATCATACATGTGAGATCACCAGGTGGATGTCAATGATTAGCATATGTAATGAAACAATAAGACGAATTCCGATTAAAGGGAAAAATCTCCCTATATTGTGCTCAACAGTGTGTATGTCTTTCCACGCGATGTCTCCAAATGTTCTTTGGGCTATCCGCCCCGCTCTCAGCTCTCTGCCAGGAAAAGATTTCTATGCGTACGAGACTACTTCAAATGATCTTGATTCGATTGCTAGACGTAAGCCACCTCCTAAAATCAATGCAAAGAGAACGTGCCAATTCCATCTGGTGCTATTATTCCGTTTTGAACAGTCCGAATACACATGAGAGTAAGGAGAAGTCACTCTCTCGCTGCCACTTTCACAACTACCTGCGCTGGTACAAGCGAATTCCACACCTCCTGTTGGTGAATATCCCGGAAAAACAATCCGCCGTAATAAGTATACGCAACAGTTCCAACCTCATTTGCGGGAAATCCTGGTTCCTCGCCCCGAACCTCCATTGTTTCAGGATTATATTTATCCTTCTTCTCGGGTGGTATTGAATCTCCGGGTTGTGGAAAATATATCTTATAATAATCAAGTGGCTCTGCTCTCAGAATCTGACTCAACGTGAAGGCCTCTCTGCAAATTTTTAACATTAATTTCTGGGCGATCTTTACATCTCCTTTTTTTGGCACAGGTCTTAAGAAGTCTTCCCAAGCTGATGCCAAAGCAACTATCTTCCTCTCTGAATCTCTCTCTCGAATTACCTTTGCACACCTGTAGGTAAATTTTCTCCAATTATGGCAGTCAATACTTTCGAAAAGTTGATCTGCAAAGTCATTAGCAAGGACCAGCTTTACATTTGACACTATCTGGTCATCACCTTTAGAAGATTCCCGGAGCTTCCTTTCAAAAGCTGTAAATCCAGCTTCCATCTTTACACCCTCGTCTTCATCATCAAGACCGAATGCTGGCTGAAGCAATATCTCATCGCTCAAAAATTGAAAGACAGGCCTTCTGAGGCGAAAATATCGTTCAACGTCTGGTTTCGTTTCGAAAGCCCATCTCAAAGTTTTGTCTCTCCATTTCTGTTGACCGATAAGCTCCATCTTCGGCTCTTGTTTCCAATCCAGGTTGAAGTAGACGAAGTTATCCAGCATATGTAACATGTCTCTATATCTTTCTCCATACAGCGGCATTGGCCCAGCCTTCTCCACACTGTTGTGTCTGTGGACCCACCGACGCCACACATTAGGGTCCTTGTCCAGCCGTTCGACTCTTTTTCTTTGCAGTTCTTTATTTTCATTCTTGAGTTCCTCAAGTTGAGTCTCTAATTCTTGTACATTTTGAGGATTCTGATGAGCTTGTGCTTGTGCTTGATAGTCGTTACACTGAGCTTGAAGGTTCTGAACCTCGGCTTTCAATTTTTCGATATCATTTTTGGCCTGAGCAAGTTTTAATTCTGCTTGAACTTGGCCGCTTTTGTCGGGTGCACTAGCTATTTGGCGGCCGAAGACTTTAAGCTCTTCTGATATCTTCTGATAATTGCTTTCAAGGGTTTTGTATCGTTTCTGCGACTCATCCTTTTCATTTTCGGGAGCATCTGCTTCGGACTGCCGAATGATGTTCATTAGTAATGGAAAAGAAAATGCAGTATTGAAGCCACAATTCAGAGGTTACAAAATACGTCATGCATGACTGGGGTCAAACTTACTGGGACTTCACCACGTTGAGATAGCATTTTCTCAAGCTCAATTTGAATCTGCTCGAGCATCTTACCCACCAGTTCTACAGCTTGTTGAACAGTTCCTCCATCTTGAACATCTTGGCTGTCTCTGGGCGCGGGAATCTCGGGATTCATTTTGAATACTGTAATTGCACCTTCTGGAGATTGGTTGAATTATGTCTTCGTTGAGCTCACGGAGCAGATTTTGAGGACACGAGCGTTTTGATCCGACTACTTTCACTAATTTTGTCATGAAAGAGACCACCATATCATTCATTGTCAAAGAACTAGAGACTATTTCTTTGTCAGTCTCGCTAGCATGCCAACCATTCCCTTATCACAGTGCTTACTCTTTTCCGTTTTCCGTTTTCAGTGTCGGATCTTGTAAGTATCAAGTCTTTCAAAAATCTTTTTGTACATACGATGTTTGTTCGATCGATATCCATTACATCAATTATCCAATGTTGTTATGTACCTAACCGAAGGCAACCTCTCACATACCTCAGTGCTCTTTTTCTTCATTAAAATTTAATTATTGCTTTGAATTATCAGGGTTATGTTTTGAGAGAGAATGGATGAAGTTTTAAGGAAGAAAAGTATTATTTAGTATGTGTGAGGTTGTCCTCGACTGTAATGATAGTGAAAAGAGGTATGATATGACAAGCTAAAAGTCTTGGTATAAGATAGTGCACCACACACTGTACGAAGAAATTAGTCACCAATTGATGGCTCGGCCTTCACTTTGATATTTCGAGCCGTCATCAAGGCCAGATGCATCAAACAATAGTGGGGGCATGGATTTGGAGAACAATGAAAATATCAGTTCAATTTCACGCTTTGAGTGTCACTTCAAGCATCTTGAATATTCGTGCAATGATTCATCATACATCAAACAATCTGCGAATAAATTCTCAGAAACTTCAGAAGAGATTTGAATTAATTATGCTTCTTGTAAAGTTGAGAGGCGTTTTATGAGTTCATCGGCCCACTGTTGAAACCTCCAACCAAATGACAAAACAACACGCAAAGTTCCTCGTATCAACAATTTGTTCCCTTGAAAAAAATACCACTACAGTGCGAATATCTGTAATCAAAGCCTCTTTGGGTTTGAGTAGCCTCTGACTTGGAATTCAGGAATACTTCGCTTTAACACTACCCATGTTTTTGCCCTTGTACTCAAGTGAAAACATCATGATAGCGGAGTTGATTGTCACTACCAACTTGTAATGAACATCCCAGCACGGGTTTCCAAACCTGTCAGTTTTCTCCCTGAACGTCGTTGGATCCACGCTTCTCAGATCAACTTTCAGGCTACAATTTACTGCGACCGTCGGATCGGGGCGGATAGGCGCACTGTCAAGTTCACAATGTTCAAGATGTTCCCTGAATATAAGATTGTCATCCGAAATGCTGTGAATAGTTCGATAAAACGAGAAATGGATCTTCTGTGGTCGTTGGAGATTGTCTCCGCGCTGTATGTACCAAGTAATCTAGTTTTGTGAGTAGGCAATCAGAGCGAGAAGTTGTTCTGTCTTACACGTCGTGTTCTCCACTTTCCGTATTCATCCATGAACTTGGGATAGCCTTTATCTTCTATGTCATGATAGATATGACTACCTGTGACACCATAGTGCCGTGTCGCCTGTGTTGAAACTACCATGACTTTTTGCGGAAGCTGAGTCAGGACAGCACCCCTTACAGCATATCAGCAACTTTCTTCCTTGCACTTAGAGAGCTTACTTGACGATTGCGGACCAAGCATCATGCGGCTGGATAAGTTGGATAGTTGGGTGCTCTTGAACAAGTCGAGATTTGAGGTACCCCGAACAACCAAAACCGCCTACAAGTATGATTGCCTAGAAAGGGTTATTGAAAATTTCAAGAAACGTCAAGGTAGTTTATCTTTATAACCTTGATAGTTTTCGCCTTTGGATGGTTCTCCAAGAGTCTCTTGGCTATAACATCCTGCACCTGCTTGTTGACCTTGACTATGATATCTGCAATTATAGGGTCAAATATGAGTTTTAAGTCATAACTGTTAACGTATTAGCTCTGTTGATATTTGCTGACTGAAGACAGCCTCACCATTTCAAATTCCAATGATTGTTCTCAAGGCCTATCTTTTCGCCGTCTGTGAGATTTCCCATGAAAAAATTGAATATATGCTCGTCACCGGGAAGGTCACCATCGAAGCTTCGCTTGACAGAAGACTCGAATTGCACCAAGGCATCCGCGAAAACCTTAGCATTCTTGGGATCGTGAAACTGAGCTTCCCCCACCAGTTCTTTGAGGACTTCCTCAAACCTTTTGTTGAGATTCAATGAGCCTGCCATACAGCCTCAATGCGGTTCAGCCCAATGTTCATACTAGCCGAGAATAAGACTTACCAGTACCAGGTACGAGCTCTTTCAACTCTAACCTGGGATCCAATTTAACGATCTCATATGATATGAGATCCACTGTACCACCACCAGCATCGCAAATCACGATTGCATCACCGATCTAGAAGAGATGTTAGTCGGTGACCTATAAGGAAGAGTGTAGTCATACCGATAGCGACGTGTCTTTGAATTCGGTTAGCGCATATAATGCTGCTGCTTCCGGCTCTTTGACGAGAGTCACTTGATAAAGCCCCGCATTCCTAGCTGCCTGTATGAAGAATACCAGTCAGCCTACCAACGCATGTACACGGAAGATACCAACCTGCAAAGTTAAGTCTTTCGCCCTGTCTGACCAGACAGCGGGCACGGAAAGGACAAATTTCTTGTCACAATCTTGAATGTAATCCTCAGGCCAACCAGCCACGATTCTTTCCATAGCGTGTTTGTAAATGGCTCGCATAAAATCAGCTGCCACTTCAACGGCTGGCTTGCCCGAGCGATTGAGGTCGCCTCTGAAAGTCGACGCGGAAGCATAAGATGGCATTTCCTGTGTAGGATCAAGTAGTAGTTTGATTCCGTGTATCGGGTGTTCGTTATGTTTCTGAGCTCCCCAGGCGAAGCCTCCGCCATTTCTATGATAGCTTATGATCGTAGGGGTTTTCGGTTGTTTGCAGAGAAGCCCTTTGAGTTGGGTTAGAAATTTCAAAGAGAGCAGTACATCAGAAGCCTTACCTGGCCACACATCCACACTATGAACCATAGGGTTCTCACTTGGAAGAAATGCAAATGCAACGCCGCTATACGTCGTTCCAAAGTCCATTGCGATAATTATTTGCTCATCCGATTTGTAAGTGTTTTGATCTCTAGGGGGTGTCAAAGTTCCACTGGTTGGCTTATCTTGCTTTATTTTGTTGACCATGGTGACAAGTGTCGCAAGAAGGACTGCGGTACTAAGCTGTTGATATGAAGATACACAGTGTACTGCTGTTAGAAACAGAAAAGATATCATACTGCGATGAAACCTCTATTTATGGATATCATGTCTAAGATAAATTCTTTGTTAGTGTGTTGGTACATTCTGCAACTTACTAAAGTAGATTCAGCGACGAACGTAATAGAATCTTCCAAACTTCCAAATCTCACAGATTCTTTGATCATGAAATCTCTGCTCCATAACTCACTCCGTCAACGTGTGCTGGCTGGACTGGTGCAGCTTCCAGCCAAGTCTACAATTGTTAAAAAATTCGATGGCACATCTAGAAGATGGGATTCACCTTCTTGGTGCTCTGAGAATGATATGGAAGAATAGAAATGTGAGACAATGCACTCTGTTGGCCTTCTGCGCCGTGTTCTTAGCTTACAAGTAGTCTTCCACAACTCGGATTCATATCGCGTTCGCAGGAGCATATCTTTGGTACGAACTACAAACCGCAGTCACGGAACTCCGCAATTTAATACAAGGAGCTAAATACCAACTCGATGATGGAGAACATGGAATCTCAACTTCCTTTTGACGATCCATATTTGCACGTCAGACGAGAAACAGAAGAACCCACAGATTATGATGGGATCAGGAGGCGGCCTTGTTATTTTCGTCGATTGTATGATGGACTTTTCGTAAGTAAACAATCTAGCCACTGTCCCAGACCAAGATTATTAATTGTCATAGCCGAGGAAAACAGCAGGGAAGACTGTCACCTTTCACAACACCAACGACCTTACACAGCTTGCTACTGAAATCAATCTCTTGAAACAGAAAATGGATAGTCTATTTCAAGAAAGAGACCAGGCTAGAATTCAGAACCAGGCTTTCTCGCAGCAGCTTGAAAATTTCACTCGCGAAAACAATGAACTCAACACCAGATGCGAGAAGCTACAGCACGATATCAGCGTCTGCTTCAACCAGAGAAAATCTTGCGAAGCAGCTGCTGAGAAGACTCTCGAAGATCTAGACAGTACGAAAAGCTTACTTCAAGCCAAAGAGGACGAGCTTCACAAACTTGAGCATAAATACAACACAGTGGTCATGGATCAGAAATCTCAAGCTCAAAAACATCAAAATCTGTTGGAAAACTTCGAAATACAAAAGAGACAGAATCTCACCCTGAGTAACGAGCTCACAACATCCAATAATCAGAACCGTTTGACATCCAATTGTGTAGACTTGCCACAGAAGCTTGAAGCACTCGAGGAAGAAATTGAATATCATAAACAAAAAGCCATGAGATTTCGAGAAATCATTCAAAAATCAAATGCACCAATGGAGATCAACGAAATAGTTATTTGCGAAGAATTTAAATGGCTACGAGAAGAAATCCATCGCATCATTCACAGGTTCTATACAATGAGGCGAGTCCATCCAGTACGTCGAAATCCGACCTTACAGATTGCCGAAAATTATCTTTCCAATCTTTTCAGTCTTGGTCTTGAACAATTTGAATTACAAAATGCAGTGAGAGCTTTCGTGTTCGGCCACTTGGATCAATCTCTGCTGCTCAAACCTTTCTTTGGACTTGAACATATGGATGAGAGCTTGGATATGCAGCTTGGGCTGAGAAATTTCGAGACAATGCTCAATCAGGACTACCCAGGTATTTTGCGCTCACCATCCACCTTCATTCTGAATAGATATATTTTGAGTACTGAAACCTCTAGACAAACACGACGAAATCGCCGAATGGAGAACCGTAACAATGAAATGTGCGAAACTATTGCAACCCGTCGACCCAAGTCGTCTACCAAGCCCTTGCATCCGCGTCGCTAAAGAATTGATGTGGCTTTTAGACCCCTTACTAAAACACCCCCAGAATGAGACAGATCAGCTCATGGGTCGCTGGCAGACACTTTGTATGAACGCCCTCAAGTTTACCATCAAGCTGAGGTATTACAAAGATGTGTACCGCTGCGAGGTTCCTCTACCAGGAAACGTGCTTAACGATGACGAGATAGACGTACAATCTGAAGTTCGTAGGGAGGATGATTGCAAGAAGTATGCTGTGCCAAATGGCTGGACTATTGCGTACGCTCTTTCGGGTGCATTAGTCAGATACTCAGCCGAGGAGCCGGAGACAAAGGTAGTCTTAGTGAAGCCATGGGTAGTGACATATGCTCGTCCAGGCGAGAGTAAATGAATTCTTATCTGAGATTTGGAGTCTGCTGAACTGGCCTTCAATTTTCCTGGTCAGAAACAATGGTTGGCGAGGGTGGTAGGCGCATTGAAAAGGATAGGCGTTGCATTTAACATCGTGCGGTACAGACCGCTCACCTATCAAGGTCATCGAGCTCAAGGACCACTTCGTAAATTCAGAGGTTCTCTTCCGCGCAATGGGTCACCATATATTATCTATTTACCATCCTTTGTGACACGTATCTGGTGAATGAGATATGTTGGCGCGTGTTACCATGAATGTCAGCCTACTTTTGCTTCTCACAATGCCTGGTGTCCATCCCTTCACAAAAATCTTGTCAGTTCTCATGTCATGGTGTTGTGCTCGTCTCATGAACTTGGCCCAGAACGCGCTATTTTGATTAAGGCATCGAGTAGAAGCTCGCGGCATCAATGCCGGCTCACTTGATTGTTCTTTCCAGGCCGCAACATTCCACCCGTGGTGCAGTGTGATATATATTGGTTGCTGGAAGAATATCTTCATACACCGTACACAATCTTTGACTGGGCATGTTGCCAGAGTGGTTAATGGGTAAGACTTGAATGAATGATTCGGTTATCTTATGGTTTCGGCCTCGTAGGTTCAAATCCTGCACATGTCGTGAGAAACATTTTGCCATTTCTTTTGGTTCCACGACTTTGGATGATTTGAAAGAACCTTGGAAGTGCTTTCATTAATAAGTTCGTGGCTGGTAGCTGGGCAGTGATTCTGAGTGGATAGTACGTTGTGCGCAGCCCCGCAGAAAATAGCGGACTGGTGGAACTCTTAACGCCGTGATATTCACATTTTAACGCCGAAATAGGTACTGAGTGTTGGCACCACATTCATTTTGATGCGGGCGTTAAAGCATTCGAGATGTTGTCCCATTTCCACGTCATGCCTGGCTGGTGTCTTGTTTTGACGCACGTTTTTCACTGATCGAATCTCTTCAGATGGCTCAGATCGTTGCGTTTCATGCTTTCGATGAAGGTGGATAGAACTGGATTTGGATCAGCACGCAGTAGGTATTGGGCAGTCAGTGTTTATGTCTTTTCTCTTTTTCCCTTAGAGCAGAAGTGTCGGTTCAAACGTCAGGATTCTGTCGGCTGGTGTCGTGGGTAAGTTGATGGCTGCAGGAAGTTCGGAGTGATGCATCACACGTTCATCGTCTTGTGGATGTTGTTGAGCGACCGCATGTGGAATAAGGATAATCAGCCGGGGAGATTATTCGTTGTCCTAAAAAGTGCCCAAACCTTTGAGCTCAGCGAAGGTTACATTGATGTATAGCAATGCGACGAGCCACTTAAACATAATGCCTGACATTGCTGTCGAATCCATGTCTTTATCGTGATGTTCCATGGTTCGGTGGAAGTCGACGTATTGAGGCGACAGCAAGCACACTAGCTATGACGAACATGTACAGGACAATGAGGTAAATTCATGCCTTCGTTCAATGTCGAGTAGACTTTGGTTGAGATGCAAGATCTTACCTTATATCTTGACCGCAAACGACAACAAGATTAGAGAAAGGAAAGATAGAGGAGAAATATATAATCATGTATAGCAATAGAGATTGTTTTGTGATGAGTGTAGGTAGCTTTTGATTGAGTAAATATAACATAAAATTTTAATGAATTTAATTAATTTAATTAAGTCGTCGTCGTTGTGTATTCAATTATTCAACATTTGCAATGGGTGGTGAGGTGATGAATTATCAAACATGATAGGCATTCCTGATAGCGTTGAGGTTGAGGAAATCGGATCTCGCGAACTTTAATTTCCAAACATTCCAAACAAAACAACCTCAACCTACAAATCATCCCACCACCCGTCAACCCTCAACCCTCAACCCGTCAACCTTACCACGATCTCTCAACGTCGCACTCTTCCTCGACGATAACCCGTATCCCTTTTCAAAACATCATCATCATGGCCGATACCGAAATGGATGTCGATGCGCCTTCATCACCACAAGAGCAACGAAATGACACCAAGAATGCCTCGATGACAACTCATTCAAATGCGACAGCGGTACGATCTATCGAAGGCTGGATCATCATCGTCACCAATGTACATGAAGAAGCTAGTGAGGAGGACTTGAATGACAAATTCGCAGACTTTGGAGAGATCAAGAATCTTCATTTGAACCTCGACAGAAGAACTGGATACGTCAAGGTGAGCTCAAACAATTACGTCTTTTGCATGGAAGCTCTCGGATCAATTTAGCATTCTCGCCTTGGGGATTTGTAAGACAATTTCGGACAGCTAACACAGAATGTCTGCAACTAGGGCTACGCATTGATCGAATACCCAACATTGGACGAGGCAAGGGCCGCTATTGACGGTGCGCATAATACCAAGTTGCTGGAACAGACTGTTGAGGTGGACTTTGCATTTGTTAGACCGCCACCAGGAGGAAAGGGTAGAGGAGGTCGGGCACCTGCCAAAGGTAGAGCCAGAAGCCGATCACGTAGTCCCAGTGGTAGAGAAGGGGGCGATTGAACGAGTGCAGGTGACGATATTGTGCCACATGAATGGTAGATACATGAATGATTTCTAATCATCAAAGTACATTCTTGAGGAGCGGTGGAAGAAATCTGGGGAAAATTACAAGGAATATGGAGGAAATTTAGAAAAGCTCCCTAGGTACTATGTACTCCTCCTTTAAAAGCCGATGTGTTTTCATGGGAAAGACATGTCGGCGTATATTCAAATCATTACGGTTGTAAGTGCATCTAATCGCCTTGGAATTCGGGGCAGAACATGTCACTAATCTATATTTAGTATGGAGATACCAATGAGATACCAAGATGAATTACCATTGAATTTCCTCTGTAATCTATTTCACTCTAACGAGTCTGAGCCCCACGAGAATTTGATCGTTACATCTCCGAAGTTTTCATCCAACTGTTGGACATCGCCGAGACGTAACACTTGTCTACTCCAAAGCGTTCTTGTATAAAAAGAGTTGTCTTTGCAGAAAGTTAGAGGACCCTACTCACATTTCTCCAAGAACCTAGTGGACCCTACATTCAGAAAGAAAAAAAAGACTCTATTCCGATTTGGAGAACCTTGTACGGTGGGCTGACATAGAATGATGTGAGCGAGCTTTCCCCCTGGCACCACATTATTTTGACATTTACCAACGATTTTGCTTCTTCCACAGACAAGGCTTTATCCGGGAATCCCACCATACCCTTGACAACCTTTCCTTCTAGAGATCCTGGAATCCCAGAGGGTCATGCAAGCATATCTGTCGATCTAACAACACTCTCCGACAGCATCTAACAACACTTGGACCACTACTATATAAGTATCCTGTATCACCAGACCTTTGAATCCTCATACCACTCCATCTTGTACACTTTACATATTTACACCGCTACACGCAAAGAAGACCATTGAAAATATCTTCCACATTTATATATCTACTACTTTCGGTTGCACCATTATATATTGTCTGTTAATCCAAACAACTCTTTATCCCTCCCTCACCTTGGTGAATCAACGTCACAATGGCTCGTACATTTTTAGATACTCTCCCAAGAGAGATTCGCGATCAAATATACGGATATGTTCTATCATCCCACTCCAGAAGTGTGTATCTATCCGAAAGCGTGGTCAATGACCCCGATTACCCTCAAGAAGAATATTCAGCAGCTGGAAAGCCCCCATATACCATCCGCTCCAAATCTCACGGCGAAACCATACGCCTCTCCTTTTTACGAACCTGTCGTCAAATTTACCATGAAGCTAAAGTTGTCTTCTGGGAGCAGAACTCACTCATTCTCGATGGTATTCTTCCTCGAACATACATCGATCACCCTATACTCGGCAGACTGCCAGGTTCGATAGCCTCGATGGCTACCTCGGTCGAACTCAAGATAGATATATTAGGTCGTTCAGCTTTCCGTAGGAAGTCTGAATTATCCGAAGACAGTCCTTCGCTTGTTCCATTCGAATACCAATTGAAGGATCTAGCACGATGGCCAAACCTAAAGAGAATAAAACTACATATGAGTCTCGGGGAAGACCCATGGGGTAATTACGACGGGTATGGGCACAGTGGTTTTGCAAGACTACTCTACTGGAGACTTAGAGGCGGATCAAACGATCATTGGCATAACTTGGTCCGATCAAACATTAAAGCGTTGGAAGAAGCGGGCGGAAAGAATGGTTACCTGTCTCACGTCAAGAAGGAATTGGATATCAACACAGGCTGCGCACTTCCTAACGGTAATGGCTTCCCTCAAAGAATGCTAAAGGTGTCTACTGGATCTCCTGGAGAAGTTCTACAAGAATTAAGTGAGGCATGGTTTGGTACTCTATCAGTTGATGGTAGATTATCTTATCTGGAGGGTGAAGAGAAAGAAGATATGTTTGTTCAACAGCCAGCACCACGTCTACCTATGCTCGATCATTTCTTCTTCTTCAAATACGACATTGATCGCTGGGTGGACGGACAATCAGGTGTAAGGTTATGGGGCAAAGCAAAACAAATTTGGCCAGCAGGAGATGAGGGTAAACAGGCAAGAAGAGGAGCTTGGGAGGATTCAGGGAGAATGGGTTGTTCTTTTGATGTTATGCGCGAGATTCACTGGCCTTGGAAACAAATGTCACCGCCTGACTTTATTCCGTAAACTTTGGGTTTGAGTCCTTTCTCAATTGTTACATGTATTACGAGTTTTCTTATCCCTGTATCACTTATTATGAAGTATATCCTCAGCTAGGCGTTGTGGAAATTTGCCTTTAAAATCTTTACAAATACATAATTTACACATATATCTACCTCTTCAATGCAATGTATTCATGTGCTGTCGACTTCGAATATGATCTTTTTAATCTCTCCAATTTTTTCTTTGTTTAAAACCTAGCCACGGTATCGTTGCCGGTTACTATTACGACTGGCGACCCCCATCCACCAGCACAAACACGCAAACAGACAATCTACGTACATACATAGCAGCTGCAGTCAGCGCTATCGAATGCGGGGTAAGGGAATTGGGACAAGTGATACAATGGTGCCTGTCGGAAAGACTGGGCTTACTTGCCACTTTGAAGTCAAAGACCAATGAGTGAGGAGAGCCAAGAAGAGATTCGGTGGTGGTGGAAACAAAGCTGCAGCATGCTGGACCCGAGTCAACCTCGTGAGAGATTGCGGGGCGTGGGTACTGAGATGATAGGAGGATAGTCTATCGGATGCTTGTCTTGAGTATGGGTTGAGTGTTTTTGATATGTTTTTGAAAGGGGATGAGTGATAGGTTGGGGATGTGTTATAACTTCTGGGAAAGGATAGGGGTAGGCATTTTTGCAGTTGCATATGCGGATGCGGACTAGGTATCTGATGATAAGGCTAAAACGAAAGCGAGGGATCCGAGAGCAAAAGCGTGGGATATTATGAGATGAGATCTAGACAGGTAGAGGCGTCGGCCAGAAGATGAGTTGGGATTTAATTCGCTTGTCGAGTAGTATTTTCACATGTCCTCTCTTTCGAATGCGGATCTGGGGGTGGCGAAATATTATTATTGGGAATTGGTGTCACCTGTTATGCTGTGCATGTGTTTTGATTGTTACTTGACAGCAATATCTCAAATTGGATTGCTAATTTAAATTCTGAAGGCGTTTTAAGAAATTGAGCTGAATCACCTGCCACGATCAAACACTCGGGGGGAGCGCAACCATTCACGTGCACCTCAGTCCTCGCTTGAAAATCCGTGCTTGATTTCATCCATCACTCGGCACCCCCAACAAAACTTCCCCGGCGAACACCCCCAACATCCCGCGTGCAAAATTCTTCAACGGAACATTTATACTCTGCCCCCATAATACTTTTTCGATCCGAATTGAGTTTTTTGAGAATCGTACCGATCGTACGAATTGCGAATTTGTGATTTGATCATCGGCCCGGAAAATCGTTTTCCAAAGGGGCTTATCGGACCCGAGTTGCGGGTTCGGCGGGTGGTGCTACGAGTGTGGGATCTTCAGCTGGGTTGGATGGAAAGGCTTGGTAGGATGGATTTGGATGTGCACAGTATACTCTGGATACTTACCCCTTGGAATTCTGAGGTGGAAGAAGTTCATTGGGAGATGGAAATGGAAGAGCAGTCTCTCCACCCACACCAGTTCGTCCAGCACTCTTAGTATCGTACCCTCCATGCATACGGAGAGTATGTTTGCGTCTCCGCTTCATCCTTCATCCTAGTATCTCCAACGCCTATCTATCTCGCCTTATGATGTGGGCATTGGGAAGGGGAGTAGCGTGAACTCGGTGTAACTAGGTTGAAGGGTCTTGCTGTGTACCGGTTCACCGAAATAATAGGCTGTGTGTTGTAGGCAGAAGCTGGTAAGGGAGGATCAAATGCTGTCAGAAATAGCCTATGGTTGTACTACATTTGATGGTAACGGTTCTGGAACACGGGGGTCATGATTTTGAAGACGGCGAGATAGGGTATTGAAGATGGATGGACTAGACTGGGTGTCGCGGTCTCACCGTTGCTTTCTTTTGGCTGACCTGTTGAGATTGACGATATTGATAGAAATCGGAATTATCCGAAGCTCGGGGCGCGATGTTGATCTTGTTGAGTGCCATGGCTGTAGGGCTTTGATGGAGAACATCAGCTATCTAGATTCTAATTGAGCCTCACGGAACAATGTCTACGGTTGCTTCCCGAAATCAGTTGTTCTTATGTCAGCGTAGTTCATCACCTCTTTGAGTCTATGCGCCGAGATGGTTGTGTGGAGCTTCTTTTTCAAGCACTGCAGAGAGAGTGGATATGTGTACTTGCAATGTGGATACAAGTTACAACTGTGCATACTGAGTGGGAAGATTCTTTTGAACGATCATCGATGATTCAACGATGATGATGACTCAGAGATAAAAGATCCAAGACGCAAGATGACATCGAGCTACCACCACCATCGAACCTTACAGCCACGATCGAACTTTGTCAGGAATGCGCTTGTCGCAAATGCATAATCGCGATCTGATATCTTAAAAATGACCTCATATTACTTCTACAAATCCTCTTGAAACACATCTAGATCGTGATACACTCTATTCTCTCAAGACCAGATCGTTGATCCTTTGCATGAATAAAACCTCCCCACTCAATCTTAACTATTCTTCTGCGCATCCACCACGAAACCGGCAGATCTTGTCGCAACCATTGCCGCAGGAGCCATCGTATGATGACTCACAATCTTACGGAAAACACTTGCATCTGCAATTCTCACACCTTTCACCCCATGGACACGCAATTCGTTATCTACCACCCCAGGAGCATTTTCATCGGCTTTCAGAACCCATGCGACATGTCGATGAATAGTGGAACGTATTTCGTACTCTGTGACGTAAGAACTTATCCATTATTTCATGATTTCCATTCTCGACATCGAGATCTTGGGACTCGGATGAGAAGGTGACGGGACGGAGGAGAGGAAATCCGGCAGAGAGCATGGTTTTGCCGAAGGCAAGGGCGAGATGGACGGCGCGTCGGGCGAGGATCATATCGCTTGGATTGGAAAAGATGCCGAAATCGACGGCGGGAAAGGCATGCGCGGGTGAGGATCTAAGTCGTACGCTGCCGCGAGATAGGGAATTGCAGATTACAGCGAGGGTGCAAAAGATTCCCATTTTGGAAAATGTCGATTGGTGTTCTTTCATATCTTCCATGGCGCTTACGGCGAGTGGTACTAATTCGATATCCGGGACTAGATTTTGGGATTTTGAGGGATGAAGAGGAGATGTTTCTGTGGGAATAGCTTCGATATTCTGGGGTGAGGAATCTTTGATGTGTGGTCCGCTGGCATCTTTATTGAGAGATTAAGATCGGATGAAGAAACTGAGTGTTTGAGATGGTAAACTCATGATACCGGTTCCAAAGAGAAGATATTCGACGAATTCGAGAATGGCTTTTAAGGGGGATACGGCGACTTGGAAGATGGATTTTGAAATTGGGATTTCCCATGCCACAGGGATACTTGGACGATCGTTCTGAGGGTTATGGTTAATAATGGTGAGTCTTTTGTCCTGGGGATGTTGAGAGTACATACGAAATTGGAACCCACCTCGGGTAGGTCGTGGATGACTTTGATATTGTGTTCTTCGAGATGTTGACGAGGACCAATGCCGCTGAAGATATCAACGTTAGATCAGAATCCATTACTTAGGCTTTGAGACAAAATCCTAGCTCACCTCAACATCAACACTTGCGGCGAACCTAGCGCACCAGAGCAAATAATTACTTTTTTTTTTTTTACCTTGGCCTCGAAAGTCTTCGTAGATGTTGGATCAGTGCTTCCAAAGACAACTTTATTCGCACGAGGAATTCCATTGTCGTCTGAAAATTAAATTCGATTTACAGTAGTGTTAGTACACATGGTCAAATGGTTTTCTCGCTCAAGAGCAATTTCTCTCGGAAGAAAAGAATGGAAAGTGGAATTTCGTTTTCTATCTTCAGTAACTGTACTGTATATCATAGCTAATCCATCGACCGATACATCTTCCACATTAGTATCTGGAATTCGAGAGAATCCCATTTTTTCAGCTGCATCAGTAGACCTATCATGATAGATATAGTTAGCAAGTTACTCTCCCAGGCAAAACAAGAATATGTTTCTCACACTCTCAAACATCTCCATCCCCACTCCTCATACCCAAAAGATTTCATAACCCACTGTCCCTGCGTTCCCCTCCCGCGCTCTTTCGTCTCCTCAATATCTTCTCCTACAACTTTTTCCATTCTCTAAAAATAAGGCTTTACATCTTTTCATCCCCATCCTTCACATCCCATCGCCTTCCATCCCTCGTAATCTCCTTTTGTTCCACGAGTATATACTTCATTATTAACTCTACTACCCACCTAGTACTTCGGCTCGGAAAACTAAAGATTCCCGATCATTATAGTATTTCATAGGAGAACAAACCCAGGATTTAGCGTCTGGGGAGGGGTCATAGATATTAGAGGAAAGAAGCGGGATACGAGAGATAGGTATCATTTGCAGGACCACGTTCGAGGAGGAGAATCTTATGGGTACTGGAGCTGCTGAGATGGGAAGCGAGAACGCACCCGGAGGTTCCGCCTGTGGGGAATGAAGTTAAAGGTGGGAGTTAGGGGGGCGAGGAGAGAAAGGAGAGGAGAGGAGAGGAAAACATACCTCCGATTATTATGTAGGCTTATTCTTTCTCATTTGCATATTCCGGGGCTTTTTCAGGATGGTTGGGAGAGAATGGCCAGGGCATGTTGACTCTGAGGGAGGGTTATTTTAGATGGTTGTGATGGGATTGTTTAGATTAGATGGTGTGAATGAGGGGTTGGACTTTGAGATGGAATGGGAGTTTAGAAGAACATGGGGGATTCGAATTGGGGGTGTTGGCTGACGCTTGGTTGGTAACATGTTATCCCAAGTTGTTGTTTTGGAAATACAGTCAGCAATTATTGGGTCTATTGATTTGTGGTATTGTTGTTGTTGTTGTTGTTGTTGTTGTTGTTGTTGTTGTTGTTGTTGTTGTTGTTGTTGTTGTTGTATGTGTGCATTCACTTGAATTTGTATGGTTTATTCGTATTTGTGCGAATTTATGTATAGGTATGCGGTGATATTATAGTGGTTTAGATGTGATGTGGCAGTAGGTAGTGAGCAAACTCGGAGTGCTGGAGGGTATTGAGTTTTCCAAACTAGGGGAAAATGGCTTTTCTAACCTTCAGATATAGATTTACAATCTGTATTCTTCTTCGGATTATTGAAAACAGATTCTTATATGGAGAATGGAATGCCAGCTAGAGATGGATACCATAATGTTTTCCGAGAAGAAATGAGTCCCAAAATTTTAGACCCGAAAAGTCGTCCGGAGGTTAAAAGTTGTATTAACGATTTCAACTATTGAAACATGGCTATATATACACCAAATCAATGCGAAACCACATCGACGAAAGCGGTAACTTGGCCGAGTGGTTATGGCGCCAGTTTCAGGCTGACCTGATTCATCTATCTTACTGGTTCGAAAGAGCGAGGGTTCGAATCCCTCAGTTATCACATTTTCGCATTCGTTTTGAAGTTTTCATTTTGGACGTTCAGGTAGACCTCAGACAAGACAGTTTTGGAGGTTTACATTTTGCCCGTGTATTAAAAAGTATGCGGTGCGCCTGTGCGCTTATCGTTTTGGGTCCGAGCTCTCACTAGCATAAGTGGTGGGGTCGAGATTGCCCCTCTTCCGCCCCTCCTTCCTCATTTGTTTCTTCAACCTTTACACACACACCAACAAGACTTTTTATTTTACCAAAGGTAAATGAATTATTAATCTTCTGGATTCAAACAACTCCGATCTTTCTACAAACAACCAAGAAAGAGTGAATTGACTGATCTTATCTTGAAGAAAATGGCTACCAGAACCTGTCTTCGATCGACAATCAAAAAAAGTCATGCTGTCGACACTGGGCTTTTTCCAATGCTTCAATTATTTGGTTTTCCCGAGGATGACCATCGTTGAGACGAGATAGCTCGAGGGGACTGGAGAAGCATGAGAGTTGGCAACACACGCTCTCGGTATTGCTAATATATATATATATATATACATACGATAACATCGATATGGCCGACAAAGACATTACATCAGTAATATTGGGAATCAAAGGAGATAACGCCCAGGCAGTATAACCGTACGCCCTAAATATGAGGCAAACAAAGAGAAGGGCATCCTCATTGACGAGACATTAAGATGGAGTGATGTGGAGTTCTATGTGTAACCGGGCAATCGAGGCAAGTCCATTTCTCTATATTGGAGACATGTGTAGTACTGCCACTAATGCAATTCTTTTAGGTCTTGCTGTGCGAATATTTTTCTGGTTTGTCAAAGGATATCGCGATCCATATGGAAAATCGAGATTTGATCCTGAGAGAACTTTTATATTCTTATTAATCAAAACAACTCGATATCATTTGGATGCTACCTTTGTGCTAACCGACTTTTAGCTTTTCAACACAGGCTCTTTAAATACAAATTCTTAATGATTAAATCACTACACCTTTGCAAAATATTTATATATCACAGATTGATGCTGTAAATATCAATCCAGTTTTACTACAAACAACCAAGAGTGATTATCTTTTCGAAAATGTTGTTATAAAGAGTCTGCATTGAACCCACGATTACAATCAACGCTCTCAGCTCTAGGGTTTTTTCATCACTTCACTATGTTTTCCTTCCAGAGGACGGCTATCATCGAGACTAAACAACTCGAGGGGACCAAAGAGGCACAGGAATTGGCCACCCAGGATAATCATGGCAAGAGACCCCAGCATATCCAGAAAATTATCGACCAGGCCGACGATGCAATGAACCTGACACCATCGGGAGAACGGTTGATCGATATGGTGAGACACCTCGAAGTGGATGAAGATCCAACCCAAGAAATAGATGTTACGGAACAAGAGATTGAAAGTGATCCAAGAGAGATGCCCGAAGCCTAGAAAGGTCTGCCCGATAATATAATCATTCAGCCTGAGGAGCCGGAAAACGAATGGGAGAGATCCCAACTCAAAGATCGGATCTCCCAGTTATCCACTTTCATAAAGGCTGGAGAAGGCACCATATACTTACCAGGGAAGAAACTACAGACGAGTCAGACCGAGACCGAGACCGAAGCCACAGTATTTGAAAATTGTCACAAATAATTCTGGATCGAGCCACCGGTGCCACCTATGTCTGTTAGACGATACAGCTACTGTGGAGAAGAAGGAGAAATCCTGGCGTCTCCGTGAGCTTGATATCCACTTGAGCACAGACTATCATAGTCGACTGAGTTTCTTGAAAAGAACTGTTGCCAAAGAATTGAGGCTACAGGGGAGTGGGAAGTTGAGTCGTCCAAATTGTGAAATGACGAACGAAGGCGACGAGGAAGAAACTGAACCACCGCAGTTCGCTACGCCGTTCAAAATGGTTGAGCACTTGACGAAAGTACACAACTATGAATGAGATGAGGTGTATGTTGGTGTTTGCTTTGTGTTTGGGATTCTGGAGAATCTTAGTACTTTGACTGGTGGTGTGGTGTTGCTTGGAGGGAGGCATGAGGTATGGAAAGTGTATTATATTGATTACTAGGAAGTGTCGAAACTAATAACTTCGAATATGTGAAATTTGAATGTGCATGTGAGTTCTGAGGAATGAATTGTATATGTACAGGTAAGTGGGTATATTGAGAATCTAGTGAAGTGAAATAAAAAGGAAGCCTCTTCATCGAGAAATATTAAATCTCACAATGTGTATAACATGTATACTCAAGGAATCAATTTCTTTTGGGTGAGATGAGGATTTGTTCGTGGAAATTGACTTTTTTTCTTTTTTTCTTTTGAAAATGTCAAATAGAGATTGAGTGGGTGAGTATGTATGTATGTATGTACGTATATACATATATGTAAGTATGTATATATGTATATAAGTTTCTCATTCCATTCATCTCACTAAGTACTTACTTACTTACTTATTTACTTATTAGCTAGCTATGTAAATAAACGATAGATGGATGATACGAATTCGGACTTTGAGAGAGGATATATATATATATGGGTATGTATTTATGAAGGGAGGGAGGGAGGTATGTATTTATACCTTCCATATATCTATCTATTAACTATATTATAAGATTATATTGAAACTGTACAATTGGGTTTACTTGTAGTTTTGGGATTGGATTGAATTGAATAATGAATGGATAGATAAATAGATAGTATAGTTAGGGAAAAGGAAAAAAGGGGAGGGGAGAAATTGAATATGTAGGAAGGGAGGTAGGTAGGTGGATATAGGTTTATTTAGGATGGTTAGTATTTTTGTTGTATTGTTTTGTATTTACTTGTTTATTGGTTTATTAGGTAGGTAGGTAGGTAGGTAGGTAGGTAGGTAGGTAGGTAGGTAGGAAGGTAGGAAGGTAGGTAGGTAGGTAGGTAGGTAGGAAGGTAGGTAGGTAGGGTAGGTAGATAGATAGATAGGGAGGTAGGTAGGTAGGTAGGTAGGTAGGTAGGTAGGTAGGTAGGTAGGTAGGTAGGTAGGTAGGTAGGTAGGTAGGTAGGTAGGTTGTTCTAGATTCTCGTGATCTTTGGAGAGGGAGTGGGAGAGTTATATGGTGAGGGAGTGGAAGAGGGAGTTGTATGGTGAGGAGAGAGGATACTGAGTTGGTAGGTAGGTATATAGGTTGGGTGTTGGTATTGGAGTTGAGTATTGGAGTTGAGTATTGGAGTTGAGTATTGGAGTTGAGTATTGGAGTTGAGTATTGGAGTTGAGTATTGGAGTTGAGTATTAGAGTTGAGTATTAGAATTGAATACTGGAATTGAGTATTAGAGTTGAGTATTAGTATTGGAGTAGTACTGTATGTAATATGTATTTGCTTATATATTTGTATATATATAAAGAAAAAGGAACGAGAGATTATATAGAGATTGAGTGAGTTTTTATTTAGATATCTATTCAGGTAGATATCTAGATATATATGAAAAAGGCTAGCTAGACTAGAATGGCTAGTAGAGCCGAGTCACGTGCTCAGAGAGTACGTGCGCCCTTATATATATATTCGATATAATTCTCTATTAATGAATATAACCTTATACTTGATTTATTTTTTATTAAACAAAATTTCGAAATTGAATTAATTATTTGTATTTGAAACTATTTATTTTAAAAATATTTTCAGAAGTCACGTGTCGCAATGGGTCCGTGCACCCACTGGTGGTGCTCGGAATGATAAGCGACAAGCGGGTGTACCGAGAGTGGAAAACAATGCGGACTTGTATATAGTCTAATCTAAGCCAGATTTGACATGAACAAACAGAGCAAACACCGGCCCGGTTGGCACAATTGGTTAGCGCGTGGGCCTTTTAAGATAGATTCTATCATATGAAAGCCCAAGGTTGAGAGTTCGAGCCTCTCATCGGGCGTTTACAATGTTTTTTTTGCAGATTTTTGCTAATTTCCCCCTTCATCTCCAGCCACACGTGACACTCATCAGGAGTTCGAGCCTCTCATCGGGCGATTTTCTTTTGTGATTGTTTTTGATCTTTCCTTAGATGGGGTGACTATATCTTTTTTTACGTGATGTTGATCATTGGTGATGTGACTTAGTTGTTGTAGGCAAATTGAGGGATTTTTTGACACCAGACAATTTCTTAACGCCGTGTATCCACATCGGGAGAGAATTATCGACAATAGAGCAGGACTTTGTGATTTCGACTTTTACACTTGCTCCAACATTACAGTTTCAATAACAGAGTTTTGAACTTCTGCTTCTCTGTCAAGCAGTACTTACGCTGAACAAATTAACAATGTTTTCAAGCCATTAATCGAGAGGGTTGTTGATAGACGCTAGAAAGTTTACTCTCCCATACCTTCGCTTATATAACCTATACGTCTAGTTGCGATTCAATAATATGACTCTTAATCTATAAAATCTTCAAAGAAACTTTCTTATTATTGACTGTTGGAAATGTTCCTGAATCCACTCACTTGAACAATCGATCCACTTAGACCCACATAGATACGATACTCCATACCCGCCATATACGCTTACCGGTGCAAGGCGAGACGAGCTGGAGGAGAACGAAAAGCATGTAGGATAAATGCGGAGGGATACTGGTAAATGTATGTGAATCCTTCTTTTGATTGTATGAACTCTTGATATCTGTCACTGGCAAGTACACACTAGTGATACTGCTGCGTATATTCATGATCCTTCGTATTATCACCCTGCAACGCAACGCATTGACATCTGATACGATAAAGCTTATGGCTCTGCTGCCACGATTGATAGCAAACAAGAAGTCGGTATTTGAACAGTTGATACTTACTATACCGAGACCTGGGGCTGAAGAACAGCTTAATGAAGTATTCTCAGGTCGATTTGAAGTTTATTTGTAACCCTTCTAGGTTCTCTAGAAAATGAAGATTAGACACGGTTGTAATCCTTAACAAGATTTGTCCCGCTTGATAATTGAAGGACGATTGACAATGATGAAAGTATAGTGATAGTACTTCACGAATATAATATTCATGAAGTTATTTGATACTCCAGACTGACTATGTGAGAGAAGAGCAATCAGCCGAGTCCCTTGGTTTTATATAATTGTGGCTAGAGAATAAGTGGCTGGATCCACCAATAATTCCACTTACTATCGACTAATTTGGCAGGTCGACGCCTTTAGAGAAATGTATGGAGAAATTTGATAAGCGGTCAGATTGCTAATGATTATTCGCTGTCAGCACCGCCTTTTGCTTTTCGGGACGACATACCGGTATTGAATTTAGATTATAAATATATCTCTTGAAATCTTGGAGTATATAAGTAGGAGAAAGAGGTTTCGAGCATTTCAATCTTTTAGACATACCTACGAACTATCTCTTATTCGTTTTCTTCGTACACAATCCTACACCGACTGATGGACGAGACCCAGCCATTGCTCGCACCGGTACCACCGCCTACAACCGCAGCTGGGCAATTTCCATACATACCGGATGTCAATGTTCCAAATGATGAAGTTTTCGATCATAGAGTCGATTTCAATCCCAATGGAGACCCGGAAAATCCATTGGAATGGCCAAAGGCTTATCATAATGGAGTGATTTTGCTTTTAGCTTTTTTGGCTTTCACAGTGTACGCATCTCATCCCACCTTCAACCCAAACTCAAGATCTAACAATCCATCAGAACATTCACCTGTATCGGCGTCGTCCCCATTGCCCGACAAATTGTCCTCGATCTCGAGAATCGAGAATCAAAATCTGCATCCGTTCTTCTGGTTACGATATGGGAACTCGGAGAAGCCGCTGGTCCGTTGCTCATTGCCCCGCTTTCCGAAGTGTACGGTCGAGCGGCCGTGTTTAGCGTGGCGAATGTTTTGTTTATCGTGTGGACCGTCGTGGCTGCGTGTAGCCAAACGTCGCATTTGTTCATCCTGTCGAGATTCATGACGGGTTGTGCGGTGGCTTCGAATGTTCTGAATCCGGCTGTTATTGGCGATATGTTACCACCTGACCAAAGAGGTTCAGCTGTGGCAACACTCATGCTTGCACCACTTTTGGGTGGTGCTATTGGACCTGCTATTACCGGAGCAATTGCCCAATCGATCGGATGGAGAAATGTTCTCTGGTTCGCGGCGGGTATGGCTGGTGTTTGCGAGCTTTGTTTTATTCTTCTCTTTCGGGAAACGTATAAAATTCGTATTCTACAACGAAGAATTGCAAGATTGAAAAAGCAAAAGAATGAGGATGGTCTGGCACTCAAAGTTGTGGTGGAAGAAGAGTGTGAACATACAGCGCTTGCTATATGGAAGGCTATCAAAAGACCTGCAGCAGTATTCGGGGGATCTTTCGTGCTGCAAATTTTGTCCTTCTATGGTGCAATTGTTTTTACATTTTATTACATCATGTCGACAACTTTACCGGAAGTTCTGAAGAATGTCTATGGATTTGCTCCCACGACAATTGGTTCTTCTTTCATTGCTTTTAGTAAGCTCCACGCTATCCCTTCCAGCGAATCTCATACATCTGACTAACATAATTAGGCGTTGGATCAACCTTTGCCGTCTTCCTTTGTAACATGCTGATAGATCGCATATACATCTATCTCCGAACCAAGAATAACAATCAATCGCATCCAGAATTCCGCATGCCTCTCACTATCATCAGCGGTTGCATTCTCCCCATCTCCATCGCGCTTTTTGGATGGACCGCCGCAAAGGGCTGGCCCGCTGCATTGCTTCTCTTTCTAGTCGGTCTCCAGGGCTTCGCTATCTTAACGGGTATGGTTCCACTAATGGCTTATGTGGTGGATGCATTTGGATTGTATTCGGCAAGTGCTTTGACGGCGGTCCTCATTACAAGATGTTTGATGAGTACATTTTTACCGTTGGTGGTTGGTCCGTTGACTGATCAGTTGGGATACGGATGGGGATTTATGATTGTTTCAGGTGTGTGTTTGGTGGTGGCGCCGGTGCCTTGGTTGGTTATGAGGTATGGTGAGAAGTGGAGACAGTGCTCTGCGTATACGAGGGATGATTGATTATGATTTATGACTAGATTGGATTTCGGATGATGGATGTCGGGATCTGCCTGAAGTAGAAAAGATGGATGTTTGGAATTTTAATGTTGATATGTGGGTATAAAGGTGCATAGAAGAATATATATCATGGAATAATACACAGATTGCCTTGTATTATTTTGTCAAAGTTTCATTATTTGGGGCAAGACTCGAGATCGCAAGACCTGGAGCAAATATTCCAACATAATCAATGTCTCAGAGTCTGTGAGAAAATCAAAATTCAACCATAGCGCTGCCTATATAAATCTATAAGTCTCATTGATACCTTGCTGGTCATCTGTGGTGTCCTCGGCGTGCATAACTCCCCTCCACCCGCCCCCCCCAACACTTGCTACATCAAGATTGTTGTCCTTTTTCTGCACCGTCAAAATCGATGTGCTCGACTACAGTCTCATCCAAACTCTCACCCGCTTCCTCAATAGGTTCGAGAATTCCATCCGAACCCCATGCCTGCAGTCCAAAGACAGGCTCGCTTTCCCAATTCATTACGCCATTTCCTCCATCCTTCCAAAGTGTCATATCTCCTGCCTGGGTAATCGGGTCGTTTGTCTCAGTCTCAAGTTGCCATGCGTCATGTAAACATTCCTTCGGCTTAGACCCCTCGAGGTTCTCTAACCATTTGCGGTGGCCAGCTAATCCTCCCTCAATCCACTCGTCGTACCCGGGTAGAGTTCGCCACAAATTGACTCTTTCTTCGATTAATTGTTCGTAATCCCTTAAACAGAGAATGGCCCGATCAATATTTTCATCAAATGTTTCGAAAAGGGAGCGATCGGTGAAGTGGAAGGGGCCACCAAGGCAGGCATGCGATATATCGTTTCTAGCAACACGCAAGTATTCCTGTATGTTTCGAATACCTTGCGGCGGATGAGCAGTAGCGGGTCCACAACTGTCCCCCGGATCATAACCAATCCAGAATGTATATGGACGATGGTAAAAAGACAAAAAAGCTTTTGGCTGTTAGACTTGTCATGTTTGTCGCACGGCTCCGCAAGATCAAACCAAATATTGGAGTCGTCTGAAGTGGATTTCAATTCCTGGGACTGGCGTTGAAATTCCCGGCAATCTTCGGTTGTCATTCTTAAGTATTTCAATCCGACCTCGTCCTTCAGGAACAAATCTGGATAGAATACTGCCCACAGTGACCATTCGTGAGATTCCCCATCTCTAGTCATGGTGATTGTATGTCTTTGAAAGCCTGTTGCTGAGTAGTGTGCAAGCCGATGTATAACTCAAATGTCTTTCTCTTTGAAACTAGTCGCAGCGGAAACTGCGCTGGACGGAGTGAATGAGCCGAGAAGTGACCGTCTGCACATACTTGCGAGAGTTGATTGAACTGTGATCATATCGGGAGCCAAACAGCCATCAAGCCAAGCTGAATTTGCTGGGGTCGTTTTGAGGGTGATTCGCGATCTGGCATCCATCTTTCCTTCCTTCCAACATCTTTGAACAAAGTCTTCTCTCCGAATAACATACGGTCTCATGTTACGGAAAAGTAAGATGACAGCCGCTAACGGGCGATCAGGAAGACGCAACTCTTTTGGGCCATCGTTTTGATATCTTTTGTTCCAGTCCATACTTCTAGATTTCCTTCAGGGTTAAATGTTAGACACTACACTAGAAACTACGTCGACAGCGTTTACCCCTTGTAGAAACTCTATAATAATGGAAACTGGAGAGTGTAGAGGTCGTATAGAGTGAGAAGGAAGGTGGAGATGAAGGGGGTGCACTTGCCGTATATAGATTACAAGTGGATATATAAGAGATCATCCCCCCATTACCTCTTTTAGACCAATACACAATATTACCCACTACTTGGCAGCCTTGTCTTCTGAGTGTACACTAGTTCTAGGAACATCCAGCTAGTGAGTGGATTTTGCAAAAAATATAATTGTTATTTTAAACTAGTGTAATTTTGTATGATCAACTATTGTGTATATCCTCCCAATGCACAGTTTCTCTGCCTTCAAACATTTCTGACCCAACTTATCATATCTCTCTTGAAGATAACGTCCATCCTATCACCATTGTCATCAACAAAGATGTGTTTTGGTTCCCAAGAGCGCCACACGATCAATCCCCCACTTTCCTCAATCCTCATCCCCTCCACTACCACCGGATCGTCGACAAATTTGATCAACACTTTTTGTTGACCTTTGGCCGTCAAGTCGGGCATAACGCTTTGTGCTGGTCTGAAATTCATTGTCCGTAAGTCTGCCATCTGTCCATGCTCATGCTCCCATCCTCCGGAATAATGGCACGAAACGCCTCTAGTATTAGGAGGCAGCTGCATAACTGGCAGCTGTGCGACAGTCTCAGAGACATCGTTGGTAGTACTTTCTGATCTCTTGAATAGGGTAAGCGATTCTTCAATTGCAGGTGACCCAGGGCAATTATCACTTACGCTCTTTTTGCGCAAATGGCCAGATTGCGCAACTTGTTCCACGCTCATCTTTTTCTTTGCGTTCGGTGCCAAGTCTTGACTTTGACAGCCTTTCCCTTGATCCTTCCACCATTGCCAATCTGTTCAGTCTCTCGGTTCAACTGCTCACAAGGCTTAGTCAGTATACATGATCAGTTAGTTGCATCATAGTAGCCCTCTCACCACATAATCCTTCCCGTCATGTCTTCTCTTTTCTTCCCTCTCTATTGTCTTTTGGTCGACAGAATATTGATCGTATCATGGATAGCTTTGCTTCAAGGAGCGCTTCTTCGCTATCTGGTATCTCCAATCTTGGACCGGGTGCAGTAGAATCAATCAACTCTCCTGTATTCTGAGAATTGACCGATTCTGGTATTTCCTTAGACTCTCCGGACTCTGCGTTCGAGAGAGAATCTTCTGCGCCGCCTCCAACGCTATTCTCCCTGGTATCGACTTGCAACCTTGGTGTCTTTGCTGCTCCCACTCTACTCGAAGATGTTGTGCCCATGGAGGAGACATCTTTCGCTTTCCTCTTGGGTGTTCGGTTGAGAACGTTCGATAACTTTGGATAGTTTGACGCTGCTCCTATATGCTTGTGCATGCTATCACTAGCCTCTGTCACTTGTGTCTCTGGTATCTCCATTGCAGCTATTTCGTCTCCAGCTGACATATCGGAAGCATCCCTCCGCTTATAATTGCATAACCAATCGTTGAACCAGTGACGAGCTGTCAGATTACCGATATCTGCCGGCTGCATAACTTCTCCCTGTATCCATTTTCCAAGAAGAAGTTTCAATTCTTCATCAGCGTCTGCGCGCACTGTCAGGTACTGGACATAGTCGGTAAACAGAGTTATATCATCATCTGCAATAAGTATTCGAAATTTTTCCTTAATCGATTCTTGATCAGTGATGTCGTAAAAATTTGGGGAATTGTGGGAATGTATGTCGACTTTTATGCCCTAATTCCATCTATTAGTTAAACAGCATTTCCGAAAACAATGTTTCAAATACCTTAGAATCTCCAAGCCCTTTACGCTGTCGGCCGAAGCCATTCCACTTCCCCTCTCCAGAATTTTGCATCCAGATGATTGTGGATGGAGTAGTTGAGTCGATAAGGTAAACTTGCTTTCTTTTGGTGTCGACTACACCAAGGCTTACTGGTAAACCAGCCTCTTTCCCCCATTGCTGTAGAATACCTGACAAACACTCCGTGGTAAGGTTTTCCTGCTGTAATGCATTCCCGGTTTTCTTCAAATGATATTCCTTAAATTTTGTTTCCAATTATACTGTTTAGATCCTCCCCTTCAACAGTATATTCACCTAAACGAGCGTTGATACTAGGTAGTCTTCAATGCTTTGATAGCATCTTTACTTTCAAGCCACAACACATCCAATTTCATAATACTTCTAATATTTTTGAAGTCAGTTATAGCGAATTTGCTACCACTGTAGGTTCCGCTGTATCCTCTTGAGTAATTTCTGGGTGTTTCATTTCGTTTGGACTTTCTTCGGAAATGTTTGGATCTGTAATTTTTCAGTAAGTAAGCTAAGACAAAGGGATCAACACACTTACTCATAATGGTCTCTACCCCTTTGATGATAACTTCCAATTGTTGCATCTGCGATGGAGTAATTTCTTGGAGCTCCTTCAATGGGTAAAGCATCCGCACAAGAGAGAACCCAAGTCGAGCCGTTAGTAGTTTGTTTTGGTATCCGCCATGTGATTCTTCGCTTCGGTATGTTCTTTGTAAGCTCCCAAAGCCTGAACAATCTTCTGCATAGTCATAGACGGATCTGAAGATATTGATTGAATATGTGTTTCTGGGATCAACGTCTTCGCAATATCCCGAACCTTCTCGTCATGAAGGAAACTGGTGAATTCATCGAGCACTTCAGCCGATATCTCATCGTTTCGTACGTTATCCATCATTTGTAGAATAAGGCCTTCCATCTTCGCCACATCGTTGACATTATTGAGGTCATAATTGGACAGGTTGAATTCTTCCATTTTGTTGAATGTATTTCAAGACAGCCGTGGGTAATTTGTTGGACTTTGGATTGGTGTTTTTTAATGTGACACTGTTGATCTCCCTTTGTGTCTTCTAACTTTTCTGCAGCCAGTAACTATACGGAGGTTCGATCTCTGCGACCCTTCTTCCTCAGCCTTCAATACGTAGTCGTTGTGACTGGTCCCATATGTGAAGGCGAAACGGTCTGGGTTGTCGATCTTGCAATTCCGAAAAAGTAGTTGGATGATGGTAATGACATTTTCAAAGTAACTTAAACTTGCAGGAAAGATCGAGTATCTTTTTAGGAACAAACGGTGTTTGGTTTCCGTGTTGGAGATGGCTTTTGCTTCGAAATGCAAGTTGCTCGGAGCTTGAGCTTGAGGAGATTCGGAGATTCGGAGATTTGGAGATTTGGAGATTTGGAGATTTGGAGATTTGGAGATTTGGAGATTTGGAAAGTTGGAAAGTTGGAAAGTTGGATGGAAGAGGAGAGGAGAGAGTCGAAAGAGGAAGGTGGTTGGGACTTGAGAGATACGGAAAGTAAAGTACAGAGATAGTTAGCGATAGCAGGTTTATTAATTAATATTCACCTTCCAGCTTTTCGAGTTGAAAACCGAGACATAGATGGATATATGTAGAAATTCTACGACCTCAAGTGAATCTTTCAGAATTTTCGTTCAGTTTTGCTAGGACGACTTGTCGGCGAATAATACCTACCTAGTATAACCAAGATTTCAATCGATCTATCACCTTTCTCTTTTTTATATTCTTACACAACAGTTCAGAGTACTTCAATTCATTTCTTGGAGAACCTTTTTCTGCAGCTTTGAATAAATTGAAAAGGTGTGTATTACTTGACAGACTATTTGAAGAATATTTGCAGATGTGAATATCTACTGACTACGAATAGCACGCATCAATACAAAAATCCCAAGGAAACTCCCGAATCATTCTCACCATCTGACAGACGGAAAATGTATCTGTCAACTAGTCGTCACCCAAATCCTTCAAAATCAAGGAAATGGTCTATGATAAGGCAAGCATACTTCAAACCATGGAACTTAACACTAAGTATAAATGGAGTGGTGCCATACCAATTGAGAAATCGACCAACACCGAACTATTCGCGGTGATGTGCGAGGAATCGACAATTGTGAAGCGGATCGCGTTCTTGCTTGCAGATGTGGTGTTTGTGATGAAGAGAATCATTATCGTGTGGACGGACTTTCCAATCCCTCAATTTTTCATTGAAATGTTACGCAGCTTCTGAAGAAGGGGGCGTGAAGAGAGACAGGAAAGATGCTAACGTTGATCAATAGTGCCCGAAGGCAACCGGTTGTTCTTGCGAATCGTACCATCCCAGTCTGAGCGAGGTGAACCGACAAGAACTGCTTCCCAGATTCAACTCGGCAGGGAAGCACCATTCGGGATGACAATGTCGACGAAGCTATCGGCGTACGGCCTGAACATTCAACACAACTGCTCCGACGAGATCATGTCTGGCACCAGCTTCTCCGATCCCCAAGAGGGCCAAGCACTCGCACGGATTTATCGAATTGGTCAAACACGAAGTAGTCGGGCCCGTAAGCTCGTGGTGGAGAATACGTTCATGCAAGTCCGCATGAATAAGCGATTTCATAACGTTGTGCCGCATTTGATTGCACATATGGCGTAAGAGGATGACATGGCGAAAGCTGACGCGGAGTATTCTGCTGAGATCTCGAATCCCGATGGCGCTGATTCTGCGGAAAAGATACAGACTGTGGTTGAGAAGTCATGGGGGAGTTGAGAGTGTAGTGGATGTTTTGCCATTTTCAGTGTAGGGTGGAATATGGAAGGCTTGGGTATAAAGTGTTCTTTTGAACAGATGATTTCTGACTTGTGGGTTGGAGAGTGGTTGACCGATGATGATTTAGTACGTTTTATGATAAATCAAAGTGGGAGCAAATCCAGAGATTAGATGAACTTTATGCTTTGCGATCGATCACGCATTTATTTGCCGTGATGTATAAGAACATTTCTTGGTTTTATTACCTTTGACGTAAGCATATACATGCCATTTCCATCCTGATACAAAATGTGCGTTGTATTCGTTTACTTTGGAAATCATCCATCATCAAGGAGCAGCCCCGGAAGATTAGCAAGCGACATTCACCTGAATATATCTTTTCCATTCCCAACTACAAAAACGATCATAACTGCCATCGAGGAGCTCGTCAGGCATCATAAAAAAATAATCTCATGATCTCTTGATGTCCTTAAGACGTACGATAATATAACGGGCCCTGAACACTCAATTCAAATCCAAGATGAAGTAAGTCCCTTGGTAAATGAAAAAGACGTATGCGTAGGTACCTAGGTAGCATTTAACACAGGACTCGAACATGCAAACTGCAGCCGAGCAACGGTTTGCATATGACTGGGAGAATCACGTGCGCTCTCTGATATCTTTGGAGTGAGAGAGATCTATTGAATAGTATGTATGTATGTGATGTCTATCCGGAACTATACTATAATGACAGGAATATAGATACTGCATATGTCCACGCTCAGGAATAAACTTCGTGGTAATCCTGTATTAATTAACCGTTGGAAAATGTTTCCAAATAACATAGGATCAAGAGGAGAATATTTGCCGTACATGCCTATATTTTTTTATATCTCTTTCAGGATAATAGCAAGTGGTGGGAAGAAGGGAGAAACTTACGATAACTTTCAGTCTCACTCTCACTACTATCCATGTTCTGAGCTCGATATCTTTGAGTCTAACTACAGAACTCTATAGAGATGTTACATGGTAGTATAGTAGGTCATCCAGTCTCAACTTTGCTCTGAGACCTATTAGTGTTGTAATTTTCTAGATACATTCTACAGTCTATATGGAACATATCAAAGAAGCTAGCAAAATGGAAGATTTATGCCTTTAATACTTGATACCCGTACAGGTGTTTAAAGTCCAGCTGTCATTCGATGATGAGCGAATTTCGACATCTGAATCCGCCTGGAACATTCAATTTCTCATGAACATTTATCTCATTTGAAAGTTTCCAACGCCTTGAATATTTGAGTTTAGCTGGGTCATTCGTTTATCCTGATTGTTGAAATGCAATTCGAACATTCACGTTTAGTGATTTATCTAGAGTATTGGTCTTGCCCGACAAGAGACAGACCGATAAATGCACGCTCGTTTAAAATCGTGAGATGGTTGCTTGATTTGAATATTTTTCTTTTTATTGTTCGCATTCGTGATGTTCAAAGAGATAGATCGAAAGGGCAGTATTGAGGGAAGATATGATTCAAAGTATTCCTCACAGTGATCCGATGAGATTGTGATTTCGAGCCTTTGATAATTTTGAATTTCTTTGCTTGGTCTTGATGTTGCAATCACGGCTAGTTTCTCTTCATAGGTATGTATACATATATGTAAGTCTTACATGTCTTGCATGTGGGTGAGAAGAGCGAATATCACATTCGAATCTTCCAATCCCGACTGGATAATCGGATGCTTTCAATGTTCGAATGTAATTTAGATGGTTAATCGATCCTTTAGGTGTAATCTTAGAGTTGACATCTACATCGTACGTGAATGCGATTCAGTCTTCCCTCCTCGTGTGGCATGATCTGTCATTTGAATGGTAAAGACTGGCTGGTTAAATTTTGCTGCTAATTGGTCTGAATTTGAATGTTGATAGTTACTAATGAGATATCCAGTCAACATGGTCTATTTTCAGTACATCAGTCCTCCAGTAGTTCGTCCTACCTATTCGTAGAAGAAAAAACAGGCGGGATTTGATTATTCAAATCATTATTGAAATCTTCTGAATTAATTGAATTAAAAATCAATCACAAATATTTCATATAAATTATTAATTTTCAAACAATATTTAAAAAAAATCATTTTATATAATATTCAAGAAAAATAATCGACTTATAAAAATATTATAGAAATGATCAAATTCTGCCTCTTTTTTCGCCTACGAATAGCATATGTACACTAACTTAGTATTAGTCATCAATAGACGTACCTTGACAACTTTTTTGGAACTTTCTTCTCTTCTAGGCAAGGACAAGTGGAGAAAAGGGGTTTCGACCAATACTTCGCTTGCGTGACAAAAAGATTCACGATACTATTCTCCACCAACTCCACCACCATTGAAGGAAAAAAATCAATCTCTATATATTTTTACACACAACGTCGCGCCCACAACGTTATTACCCGTAAATCCTCACTTGGTGTAATGGTCAGCACGTCGGATTCTGATTCCGGAGATATTGGTTCGATTCCTATAGAGAGGTTCACAAAAACATGATGTATCTTCTACATGGCTCAGTTTGATTCTGAGAATGAAGGTTACCTTTTTGGGTCACCTTTCTACTGTTGAGTAGTCAGCAATCGTCAGTGTGATTGAAACCCTGCGAGACAATCATTGTGCCGAGGTTTTGACGGAAAGTTGTAGTATGGCTGCGCAGTACATATGATAGTCTGGATTGTAGTCCAATGTAAGGGTTTGAGTATCTAAAAACAGTTTGAAATCTTAAAATAATTCAGTATTCAAATCAAATTCAATATCTCCAATGATTTGAATGTTCTAATTGATTTGAGGATTTGGTAATCTTCATTATTAGTCTACAATTCGGACAATTAAACACGCTGGTATAACATCAGGGTAATGTTTCGTTTGTTTTAGAGCTTATGAGAAATCATCGTGTTAAGCTTTTGACGGAAATCTCTATATAGTACAGAATCTCTTTGCTATACCTTAGACATAATCAGATTGTTATAGTAGATTCTGTGCTTACAATAGGGACTTGGAAGGGATGGGGTTTACAAAAGGACTCACTCTCCTTTGTATGTGCACTTCCACTCCCAGACACAATGAAGTGGAAGCACAAAGATTTGCCCTCTGCGTCTGTCTCCCAACTCACAATGACTTTACAAGCATACAGGCGCCAACTCGCCTACAATTTAGCTTTGTGAGAGACAGTCGTACCAAGAATCTGACATTTATTAATGCTCGGGTTTTGAACCTCAACACAAATATTTTTACGAAATCTAACTCTTGTAAACAAATCATCTACTAAATCTCTACTCTCATACGAAATTTCAGACTACAATACTCATTGTTCGAATTGTTTTTCATTTTTTCCGTGGTAGAAAACCCCACCTAAAGATCTTCGCTTCCAGCACAGCCCCAACATTCCCTTTATAAATTAGTTTGAGGAGCGACCACCAACATCACATGATATCCCTGCTGGCGCAATGGTAGCGTGCAAGACTCCTAATCTTGAGGCTACAGGTTCGAGTCCTGTGTAGGGAGTTTACGCAAAGTAAAACCGGTTTGAATCCGAGAGATGATATCATATTTTTGATTTTTCTCAAGACCCCCTTTGTTTTGTGGTTGCACAATGTTTTGCGCATTGGAACAGTAAGTCGCGGAGACTAACGGCCGATATGTCCGATGGTTTGTCAGGGCTTATGTAATGAATTTTGTGAGCTTTTCCTCAAGGGAAGGAGGATTTAGCTCTGGAGTACTTGTAGACATCTAAGTAGTAGATGGATGGTATTTGTATTTTCTGTCTTTTTTGAACGTCTAATTCTCTCGGGATAAGCCCTATGAAACTACACACGAAGCTTATCATGTCCATCTACTCCCAAATAATCCTACAATCCTCACCTCTATCCCGCTTGTTATTACCGATCAAAAAGTCTCATCGGTAGTCTGCGTGTCTGCCCCTCCTCCTCCCCCCTTCGCTTCAATCGACGCAACTCCAACACCCATCAATCTCGACGCAACTCCAACACCCATCAATCTCTTAGAAAGAAAATTGCATGTCTCCTCTTGTACATAACTTCTCCACTAAGTTCCATATTATCTGCCCATAAATCCTTTGTTGTATCCACAGTGACCAAATAAATCCCACCTGATAATTCTCTCCTCAGATGATGAATATGGAAGGAAAAGTCGCGATGACTGCTAACGAAGTCCCTTGACAAAACGATCGTTCTTTTTTGATTCATAGAACTGATAATTCAAATGCTAATTTTTTTGAAGAAACTCTGAATAGACTTGATGGTTCAATTCAAATTCAATTTAATTTATCACAGTATTCACAAGATGGTCGAATTTGACCTCTTTCTTTTTCTTCCGAATAGTCTATCTCCTTATATATCTCTGTATCTGTTCGATCTTTCTTCGTATCAAATAAGAAATAAGATGACTGTGAAGGCCTGACTATAGAGCACTTGTATAGAAGTTATTATAGGTGTACGGTGGCTTGTATTGTAATGTCTATCTTATCAAGACTATGGAATTAAGAGAAACTTTTAGAGCTTCAAAAGTCTTCTAATTATTTTGATCATTTTAGAAAATAAGCATCACATGTAGAATCAACTATTAGCCAATCATGATATAGTAATCATCAAGATCCTCACTCTGCATAATTTGTTGCACATCGCAAAAAGGGCGAGAGAAAAGGGCCTCCAGTTTCATATTGAACAACGCCCTTACAACGCCCTTTTGTGCAAATGGTTGAGTAATCTCACTGTCCAATCCGATGACCAAGATCTGTTGCCATGCAATCAGATCATGTATCTTACGTATAGATATGCAACACTACCTCTCAAGACATCTTAATGATGATTGTGATTGGAGTAGGGCTGTAAGCTTACATATC